ATCACTGATCTTTATGGCAATTCATTGTTAAAAGTTGTCCCCAAATGTAACATTTTAAGCCGTGACATTAATATGCGCCAGGGATTATGGTTGGTTTTACGACATTTGTGCCATCTTCACATTTACGACAGTGCCGTCGATGCCGAGGTGCCGTAAATAAGAGTTTCATGGGGCCATGTGCCATTGTTTTTTGTGTCATTGTTGTGCAGTGCTGGAGTTAATGTTATTTATGATTTTTTCTGTTTGTTACTGCTGCTGTTTACTTTGAGGTTTCTTTTTCGTATTCGGAAGTTCACGAGTGAATTGGAATTGCTCGTTAAGAGTGTGGATTTTGAATCAATAAAAAACTAAATTTTGCTTGTTTAATGTGACTTTACCGAAAGAACCAAAGAATAATTGTTTAATGCTCTAAGCCACTCTTACAAACGATACTTATCCACGTTTCTTGAGTTATCATCTCGTTAAACAATATAAACGCGACAATACCATTTTAGTCAACCCGTGTTTAACAATTGTTTTGGCTTTTTATTGAACAATTACATCAATTTTACTTTGTTACTTTATTTAATCCAACTTCTGTACTGCTTTTTTCAATTACATTAACTATTGATCTTTAACAATTTCCCTTTTAAACATTCAGCGTAAATAACAGTTGTCTGCATATAATCATTATCCTCTGGGCAATGCGATTTATTTGGTAATCCTTAAAGTCTCGATAGCAGAGACGACTAAATTAACCTCCAACCACTGAGTTCACCATCAATGGCATCATTGGTCGAGGGATTTCTTGGGTGGACGAAACCCTCAAAGCAAATGAACGGCGTCTACTGGGACAGCTGTGAAAAATAACTTTAGAGCTCATCGGATTCCTCCAGCATAAATATTCTGACTCTTAACGAACAATCGATGATGAGATTAAACGCTTCGTAAGCCCTGTGTTGGAACGGGTACAGTAAATTACAAATGTAGCAAGCAATATTAAAAATACAATAAATTAAATAAACTCAGAAAATACTAACACGGTTAAAACAAACTTCCGTATATCGTCAGAAATTACTGCTAAAATAGCTCAGTTCTTAGAAACGCAATACATTAAGGCGAGATTTGGAACTAAATAAAATATACTTTGCGTTAACTTCAACGAAACACAAATGACCGAACTTATGATCAGAAGGTGTATATCACATTGTGTACATGCGGTAAATGTTACATTTGCCAAACATGTTGCAAATTTATGTACACGACTTAAAGTAGAGTAAAGAAATGTTTAATACAAACAATTATCTGCGGTGGCATAACACGCGCGTTAGGAAGGAAAATCAAGCGACATTGAGAAAATCCAAAATAACATCAACCGAGCCGACATCTATAAAATGAGTGCGACTTGGAAACGATTAATAAAGAATGATTTTTAATGATGCTATCTTTTGATTGTACTGTATTAAATAACCACCAACTTATTCAATCAACTCCTGTGATTAAAATCTGCATGTTAACGCTGAACGAGAAACAGTGGAATTAACATTCCTTCAATCCTAACACAATACACCTGAACAAAATTCAGGACAGCCTAGTTTCCCCCAAACGTGAAATATATTCATCGGACCTGTCAATCACGACCAATCAACTCGTAATCAACTAATTATTGTGCCGCTGACGTTATTATATCGACCTGACTCAGATCAGGAAGCGGCTTCACTCGAGATCCGAGCTCCTGTAAACAATATCACCATGCTGGAGGTATCCGCCAGCGAAACGTCGTTGCCCGTTTAAATGTCGTGAGATGAGACGACTCCAACAAAACTTGGCGGTGAGACGAAACTTGTAAGCCTCGGCAAGGCAAGGTAAAAACAACGAGCCTACCTTTACCCTACCTTTTACCTTACCACAATACAATCACTCTACCCCTACCTTTTACCCTTTAACAGGTAAGGTAAAAGGTAAAAACGAGCCTACCTTTACCCTACTTTTTACCTTACCACAATACAACCACTATACCCTTACCTTTTTACCCTTTAGCAACGCAAGGTAAAAACAACGAGCCTACCTTTACCCTACCCTTTATCCTCACCCCATGCAAATTACTGCTTACAGGGTAATTACTGGGGTATTACTACACATGAAAAATGTTTATAACAGGTAAATGCTAGCTAGAGTGCTTTATTCATAGGAGAATACTCGAGATGATTCCAATTTTAAATAGAGGCCACGGACTGTGCCACGGAGCTTTTAGCGGTAAACATGTTGTTGCATCGTATATTGAACAATGGTTTTCGCTGCACTGCCCTCTGCTGACAAACTCACCTTGGTAAAAATTTTACCAAAATTATTTGAATACTGTGCTGGATTTTAAACAAACATTTCAACGCAAACTTAATTAATGTGTTCGGACCAAATGAGCCCCACTATGATGGCGTGGACATTGATGCAATATCAGCACTTGAGTCAGGATCGCTAAATATTGTACTGTATTGTCCGAATGCCTGTGTGCAGGAATTGTTTATATAATGTACACCCCTCTGTAAGTATTCACTTTTTTTATAACAAGCATTCTTTCATGCGACTTTGGTCAAAACAACGCTCCACAATATTCTGAAAATGTTTAGTCATTTATTGACAACACTCCGATCGTGAACTTTAGTTGGCACTGAGCTCCCACTCGGCGACATCCTGTCCAATCCCTGAGCTCCGCTTGACCACGCGTTTCTGCCCTCGTCTATCATCATATTCTCACCTCCGATCAGCACGGCTGGCTACGTAGGGTGCGAAAGAAGTTGAACATGCATACATATGGTCACGTCCTATGCAGAGGTTTACACGCAGTATGTTTTTACTGGTAGGAATTTCCTGGTTACACCAGCCCACAGGGGATTATTGTGTCCGTCCGTCCGTCGTGCAGGGAGGGGCTGGGTGGGGAGGAGCTGGGTGGGGAGGGTGGGGAGGGGCAGGGTGGGGAGGGGCTGGGTGGGGAGGGTGGGGAGGGGCAGGGTGGGGAGGGGCTGGGTGGGGAGGGTGGGGCTGGGTGGGGGGTGGGAGGGGTGGGAATGGGTGGGGAGGGGCTGGTCACCCCGTGGTGCCCTTATAATACTCAACGTTTAACCTACTCACGCCGGCTTGTGCCCGCCCTCACAGTCGGGCATATTTGCGGAATACACCACGCCGCCGTTGACCCTGGCCATTGACCGAGCAACCCAACGTTCCTACCAGCTCCCTCCGCAGGATAATGTGTTTTATGAAGTAGATGTGGCGAAGCAGCAATCTGTGGATGTTTTGATGCAGTCAATGGCTCCACCAGTGTCGTCGAGGAATGCCAAAGCCAGGCGGTGCGATGTTTGGGTCTCGAATGATGAGGCGTTTGTATTCTGGGAAGTCCCATGTTGAGCCACTCTGTTCACCAGCGGTCTGTCAGATCTGGGTGAGATTCTAGGATGGCGAGAGCACGATCCCAGAAAGGGGGTCGGGACTTGAGGTTTTGGTTGATGGTTTGTAGGTTGTTGTAGGCAGGAAAACGTGTCAACTCCCTTACAGTTTGGATGTCTCTGCAGATGGTGGCAAAATATTCGCCAGAACAGCGAGCCAGGGGGATTGGTGTCTGTTTAGGTTATGACGCACAATGCGTCAGCTGGAACTAAACTGAACTGGTGGGCTTAAGGCCCCTGTATTTATACTATTTATAATACTGGAAAGTTATAGAATGTTCTAGAAGTTACTCCAAGTTTACTCGGCACTGAATCTATCTGGAATGTTCTGGAAAATAGGTAAATTTCTAAATATCACTGTCCTGGTCACGAAAGCGAAGTTTGTGGGGAATCATAGCCATTTTTCGACTTTTAAGGCATACGCAATTAGGAAATAACACTTACTACCCAGGAACAAAAAATATATTTTGTGTTATTTGCGCATCTTGCGGTTTGGTCTACAAGCTCCCATACCAGGCTGGAGCACAGCAACTGCCACCCAGTAGATCCATGAGAGGGAGGCAGCAATCCGTTTTTTGCAGCGGACGATTCTTGATTTGATCTTTTAACAGATCTGTAACCTATATAAGTAAGAATTAATGCCTCGGATTTCCTGGCTGCTGGCTGGGCTCCTCTCCGCCCCAACAGTGGAACTCTGTTATTCGTGGCTGCGAACCGTTGCCACTGCAACTTGCTGCATAACTGGCTACACGAGATTTTCCGTGCAATGAACATGCATTGAATTGAGACGGCAGAAGAAATTCGCAATACATTACTGTACTTTGATAGCGACACCTGAAGAGGAGGGGGTGGGAGTAACGAATGAAAACTGACGAGGTTAATTTCAAATTGCTAACATTTCAATTTGTGCCGTTGGAATTATTTTGCCAGAATTTTGTTGTCAGAAGAGGGTGACAATTACAGCTGCCTCGTTTTGCGTTGCAGAGCAACGAGTTCACTGCTACCGTAGTTATTAAAACGGTTTCTTATTATTACACGCTTTTTATTAACTCACACTGTCTTGTTGTATGCTCAAATCGTGTAACTCAATTTTAACCCACTTCCCAATGTGGTATCGACTGCAAACTTGGTATACTTATGTGATACTGATGACAATACTATATTATATCATAAAAATACTAATTATATATTTTTAAACATTCTTTTTTATATGTTATGTTTCGGCTTGTGGGTCTAATTGTCCACGTTCAACTGACGTTGGCTGTAAATCACCACGGCCCCCCTTACGTGATGGCAAACTTTGGGGCCACTTCCTGGAGTCGTGGAGTTCTGCTATTACGAGTACAGTACATTTCATTAAAGCGTGTTTTTAAAAAAGTTTTTTTAAAATATTACTTTTATTATTTTAAGGGTAGCATCTTGGCTCTGGGAGGACTGAACCGTGACATTCCCTGAGCAATGTGAATGTCGTCACTTAATGACGGACACTGAACCCCCTTGAGTTATTCAATTTCATGGTTTTTAACCCAGAAATAGTGTCCTGTGTAATAACGCGATCAAGTAATGACACGTACTGAGCCCTTGTGGGGTTTTTTTTCCATCACGTTTTATTTGTTTGCGTACACTGGCTTTAATAACATTCAGTGCCGACGCTCACTGCACAGCATGGTGGGGTGGGGGGGGGTCTTAGTTTTTATACCTAACACCTGATGCGCCTCGTGCAGTCAAACTCATGGCACGTACACGCACACATACACACACATACACACGCGCACACATAAGGTGGTGTGTGCGACTCTTTGCATCATCGCACTCCTGGGAAAATCGGATTCCCGGACACAATTTTCATGCAAACCACCAACCTGCAGCTCAATGAACGAATTGGATGATGTTAATGATCCCCCCCCCAAACCCAAATTAAAATTATCATCGTAATTGCCATCAATGGACTGATATCCTTCCCCCCCCGCCCGACACTTCCTCTGGATGGATCGCGTGACATGGAACTTTATTGACGTTTTCAAGCACTTAATGAGTGAATGCAGGAAGGACATTTAATATTTTACAAAAGAGATCATGACATGCTGAGATAATGTGCACTACAACTACATACTCAATCTGCATACGTTTTTTTTAAGTTTAAGTCTTAGAAGGTACGCTAGTGAAGTCCGTTTCCTTTATGCCCCCTCGCGATAAAATGTCCTTGGGTCTGCGTGTGGTTTATATTTTTTTAAATGAGCAGTGTATGGGAGCAGAAACATTAGGAATCGTACCACGCCACGAAATCCTTTAAAATGTGGTCACACATCAATCCTATAAAATGTTTTACTCAGTGTCTTGACTTGTTTGTGTTATCCGAAGTTTCATTTTTGTTTACTTTGTTTCAAAACCACAAACAGCGTTGTTCACGTCATTAAATTATTCCGTCGAAGCAGTCAGCCACTTGTGGCATATACATGATTAGCACATTTGTTCGCATACATATAATAGTTAATAACAGTTACATCAGTAGTCTTAATATATATTAGTGCCTTTTGAACATTCCATACATTAGTACCTTAGCTTACACACACTACACGAAGGCTACGTCTTGTCATTTCTCCTGCTCTCGCTCTATTCTTTGCTCGAGTGACTGTTGGCATTTTCTGCTGTAATTGTGGCTACCACCTGAGGAACAAAACAAAATTCTGGACAGGTAATCGGCATCATAAAAACTCCACAAAGCATACGGACACAGCTGTCAGTTTTGCGGTTCAAGTTTTTTTGGAGCAATAATTCCACCGTAAGTTTTTTTGTTTTCATCAGCCTCGGGTCATATGTGCAGGTGGATTGAGTAACTGGAATGTGGAGGCAGTGGCTCCATCAGAGCATCCTTTGCCAGACGACAAAATTGTAGTCCATGCAGCACTGATGCATTCATAATGCATTTCCTGCACTATTGACACATGGTCACATAATTCCACTCAATCCCCTGCACGTCACCTGGAGCTGAGAAAGATTTAGGTGGCATCATTTGCTTATCACAAATTAGAGCCGCAAATCGCACAAATAAATTAACAGTAATGCGATTCTTTTTTTTTGTGAAAGCAAGAACCATTTCACAGGAATAAGCTTCATTCCGGGAATGGCCGATTTTTTAAACAAACAAAACAGGATGGTCGGTAGGAAAACTTGGGACAGGTGGCCACCCCTGGCCATGGTCATCCATCGTTCAATCGTGTGAGACCTGGCTATTTTGAGGGTTTCAGCGATTTTAGTAACAGCTCACGCTAGCAATTGGGGCCGCGCGTTTGTCTTTGGTGGCTAGAGTGAATGAATCGCAAGCCTTGCTTGTAACCGCAGCCCACCCGGACGTGTGTCAACTGCGCAAAGAAAATATATAGGCAGAAAAGTAAACGTGATAAGTTATGAGACTGCGTGCATGCACACGTAATAGGGTGTCGATGACAACAACAACAGCAACGTACATCTCGTAGTAAAGTATGTTCGAACGCCGTGGCAGCCAAAAGACTTACGAGACAGATGGGTTGGTAGGCTCGTGTTAGCGGTGCACCATAGGCTGGCCTCACAGTGTTCAGACGTGGGCACACACACAGGGTGACTTCCAAAAACAGTTCTTGGTCAAGAATGGTGGGGCCACGTGATTTCACAATGCGCCCCCCTGGTAGGTAAAGGTGGCGTAGTCAATGTTTAATGTCCCCTTTCTCTGACACGGGCACCCACGCGCACGCGTGTGTAGAGTAGAGTCGGGTTCAGTTGTGCATCGTTTGTCAGTTCTGATTGACTTGGGTAAGAGTCTTATGTAGAGTAATTTTCCATAGAATGGATTAAGGTCAAAGTTGGTTTGCATTGGATCAGGCCTAGGTAAGGCCAGACAAGGATGTGCTGGGTGATGCAGCACACTTTGAGTTTAGGTAAGCTATGGTCTGGTTGAGTTGGATTAGGTCAGTCAGGCCAATATAGGTCAGCTAGGGGTTTTGCAAGGCTGTGCTAGGGTTAGTAGGGTTAGTGTGGACATGAGCACAACGTGGGATCAGGTAGGGTTGAGTTGGGTAATGCGTGGGTTGGATAAGGTGAAGACACATGGTTACACTGGAATTGGTGGGGTAGTATATTGGTAGCATCGGGGAGTTGTTGGCCTTTGTTTTGGAAGTTCATGTTGAGGTTGTGGTGACGGTGGTAGTGGAGTTGAAGGTCAGCGTTGCTCCCTGCGTGCCTCGACCCGGGTGTGGCGATCACATCCCTGTACACAGACATGTCCTTCGTTAAATGTCTGTCCCTGAACGTGTGCATTTAAGCCAAGTTCACAACCAAAGTAATTAAGATGCATGTGACTTGGTTGTACCTGACTGAATTGCTAAGATGTTGGTGGTCTCTGCAACCAGTTGAGCAGTTGCACATCCGGTTTCTCGCAGTAGAGACCAACTCAATCGATTTCCTCGACGTTTTGTAGCAATGCCTTTCTCATTGCGTGCTGGACACTTGCGAAATACAGTTTGTTCTTACAATCCTGAATATGCTGTTCTATTTCCTTGCTGTGCAACTACGAACTCGGATGTAGGCAAAGCAGTTGCAGGCGAATTTTTTTTTTAAGTTTTGCGAATTCGAGGGAGAATTGATTGCATAACTGATTGCTCAGGTGTGGACTTAATAATATATTTTCGTTTCGCAATTGCCCTGGTCAAACTAAGAACACACAGCTCACGTCCGTGCCACTCGTAAATCACCGAAAGGCATCGCACCTCCCTGCGCCCCGTGGGAGCCATCGTGGGATCCACTGCGAGAGCCACCGCTTGCCCCTGCTGGCTCCGAGGGCGACTCCGCAGGCCGATCCTCCACCCGGCTCCATCCCGAGCCAATCCACTCCTCCACTTTGTCCTGCTCACACCAGAGATGGCACAGCTGTTTATTTTAGCTCTTGCACAAAGGACTACGTTTTTTCTATCACTATCTTCCAGGTCACTTGTACAATGAAGCAAGGCACTCAAATAGTAGCCACGTAGAGGGGTATACTGGAGGTGGTGTGCCAGGTGCTGAAATAATTTCCAGGGAACAAACTCGAACCCAGCTGAAATTAAGCCTCGGGTGTATAGCAAGTGAATTTCTACAGATTATCTATAAAGCGGAGTGATTTCCCCTGGTATGCGGCTCTGGTAAATTTAAATCCATTATGGATTTAGCCTGTGATCAGATGACCCTAAAATGTACCTGATTTCGTAACATTTCAGTTTTGTTGCCAGAAAAAAAGGGGAAAAACCCTATTATTATACTTTGGTACTGGCAAAGGCGGTCTAATGATGATATATATCTGCTTATTTTGGTATTTATATGCTCATTTTGAGTTATTTAAAATAATAATTGTCTTAAATTTGTAGAAGCATTGTTGGTGTCATATAAACAGCTCATGTCTGCGAGTTGTGTTGCCAAGTGGCCATTTGCAATGGCAGCGTGCTCCGCTGTCAGAAGGGTCGGGGTGAGGGGGGGGGGTTACCTCATCGCCCTGGCCCGCCCGTGCCTGGTCCACCTCTTCAGGTGACAGTACGCGGTGGATGATTTTGCGTGTCACCTGAAACGACAAGAGAAATCGTTTTTAAAACCACGTTGCCGTGTTTATTGATCTCGCCGTTTTTTTTACAGACTTAAACATTCATCGCAAATTTGAGGTAAAAAAAAAATGTACTTCTTTTACAAGACATCATTAGTACATGCCATGCCATTATAATTAAAAGAAGTTCATCAAACCGCATAATTAGCTGCCATGTGAATGACAGAAGAAGGGAGGTGATGTCATAATGATGATGAACTCATAACATTGATGACATTGTAAGTCTTCTTAGTTCTTTCGGTAAAGTCACGTAGAATGGAAATAATAAAATAATAATAAAACATAATAAAATATAATTCTCATGACGTTTCGGCCACAACGCAAGCAGCCGTCCTCAGGTGGAGAGCAGGTCTGTCGAGTAGACAGAGTCTGAATGACACACTCCAGGTTTGGAGTGACTATTTAAGCTGGGATGGAGGGGGGAAGGGCGCCTTGACAAAAGAATTTGCATATCCAGAGGAACTTAGCATATTTATGGAAAATGCAGATATGCGATTAGTACTACTTGTGAAATGTAAGTATCGTGACGATGCCACTGAAAAGGGCTCATCCAGTGCGACTTGTGAGGCAGACAGAATGGAAAGTAAGAAATGTCCCCGTAGCACCTGACTACCTGAGCATCCCTCATTCTCTAGTCCTGGCAACTCTTACGTGTGAAAATGTGGTAATCGGAGAAGGCTGTGTGAAGTGAAAAAAACCCCAGTAAATTGGGGTTTTAAAAGTACTGGCCCACATCAATAATTTCATTCAACGAGACCTTATTTTTAATTAAGTTATTGATACTTAAGTAAACTTCAATCAGTCCATACACATTCTAATTTCTGGAATGCGCTCTATTACGTTTTAACGCGAATGACTGCACCGTAATGAGTGCAACATCTAACATCACTCGCCACCAAACCTCACTGACTATTTAACCTCTTTCCTGAAGATCACCAGACGGACAAAACATCAAGATCTTCCTTTATGTTCGACTGTAAAAACGAAAACACCTGCTCTTTTTAATTCACCAGTCCTAATTTTAATTTCTCACATTGTAGTAAATTACACCTTCTATATATAAAATTTTTTTTAACCATTCACCCGACCTGCAAGTCCAAAATATCGCGACTACTGCCGGCAGATAAATTCTCAGTCCTCTACGACACTGCGTGAAACTCGAACACGAACGTAATTCCTGCGGCAGATGCGGCTCGCCACGACCACCGGGCCTTACCTTTCTAGTGACGAGGTTTCCGAACTCGTCCGTGTACTGGTCCTCATGCACAGTCTCCCCGCCCACCTGCTGCAGGTCTCCTCCCTGCAACCGCACGCAAGGGTGCTGTTAGCTAGCGCTAGGGTAGGCAGTCACATGGCAATAATACGTCATAAGATCCACGAAAGTTGCACAATATATCCACGATGATTGTGTATTGTCTCTTTTGGAAATACAGTAAAACCTTGGATTGCGAGTAACTTGGTCTGCGAGTGTTTTGCAAGACGAGCAAAAAATTTAAATGAATATTAATTTGATAAAATGAGCGAGGTCTTGCAATACGAGTAGTACGTGTATACGCTTTGTCTGCCGAGCGTCACGTGATCACAACTGATATACGAGTGCTTTGATATACGAGTGCTTTGGATTACAAGCACGTTTCCGGAGCGAATTATGCTCGCAATCCAAGGTTTTACTGTATATGGTAATGTCTTGATTAGCATCGCTTATATTATATTCATTGGTGGGTTTTTTTCTTGCCAAAAACATTAAAAAAACTAAAGCACAATAATTTATGTTCTAGATAAACAGCTAGAACCCGTTTTAAAATTGGTGCTTTGCAAAATGTTCTCTGGAGTAACTGATGGCATGGTGGTGGTTATATGACATCCTAATTTGTGGAGTGCGTGTAATCATTTGTTTGTGTGTACTTGACAGCATGTGCTTCATAAGCATTACAAAATGTAATTCGTAAGGATTAGAAAAAAGCGTATGGTGGGCTTGTTGGGTGAACTGTATGGGGAGGCCTTCATCCAGAAGTAGATCGGCACGTGGCTGCAAAAACGACTTTGAATTTACGAGGAATTGGCAAGTGCCACATTTGCTCATAATTCATCGCAAAGGCAATATTATAGACGACATTTACAGGCTGCTGAAGGGAATCCAGTGAGCATAGGGGCAAGCATGTACACGCACACACAACACCCACACACGGTTTAATGGCAGGTCCTGCAACTTCTGGCTTGGGTTAGCTGCCAGTTGAAGGGTCTCCACTAGAGGCAGCTCTTGAGAGCCCTACTGGAGGGTATTTGTTTTTCTTTACCTGTATTATGACTCTGCGACGAATCACTCGTGTAGTCACCTTCTCCCCCCCTTCATCGTCATCATCATATTCATCATCATCATCACTATCATCACCAACATCCTCTTCATCAACAGCACTGCCCAATTCATCTTTTTCTTTGAAGACCTGTAAGTAGAATTATAACACTATTTAACAAACATTTAAGACGCCACAATTCTCCGTAATAGTAATTCACGTGATCGATCAATTTGCACAGCAATGTAGTATAAACAGAAACACGCTAGTTATAGACTTTCGTTTTACTGTTGTTGGACAACAAAAAATGTAAGGATGTAATATTTCCTAGGCACAGCAAAACATTGCCTATTGGCTGTCTTTAAAAATGTAACTTCTGAATATTTTTTTATAATCTCAAAACCAGTGGCCGATTGCATAAACCACCTTTGTTGTCAAGCCTTTTATCGAATGGTCTCCCCATGCCTTGTGGTCAAGGGGGTTTGTTTCACAATACTTTCCCAAGCTGATCAGTTTAGCTCTGTGTGGGTATCACTTGCCAGTCAGTAGCGGATATCACTCGGCACCGACGTTAGGCCTAGCCAGGAATCAAACTCGGGTCACGGGGTTAATAGCGCATTGCACAAGTCACTGCTCCTGCCACCGCTTCCAAAAACAACTTAAAAGTAACTTTTTGCCCCATAACTTAAATTGATTTATTATAGCCAAAATGATTGTATACAGTCAGCTGTATGTGCTTCAGTTTGAAATTAGACCAGAGTGGCACTTATAGCTCTGAGTTAACCACATTCACTCAAAAGTGCTTGCACGTAATAATTACTTTGGCTCACCTCTTCAGCGCGGTCAGTTTCACTCTTTGCCTTTGCTACGTCCTCTTCCTCCACCACCAGCTCCTCCTCCCTCTCCTCCTCATCTGGCATCATCCTCTCGAATTCAGTTTGCACATCTGACAGTCCCCACCGCGCGAATCCGACCTCGCGCGTGACTTCACGTCGTTCTGTCTCGAGTCGTCCGTTTTCGGTGGCAGTGCTGTGAGAACTTTGCTGCATCAGCTCGTCGCCAGTGGCAGTGACTGTTGCATCATGAGAGCCATCGAGAAGCAGGAATGTCTGTTCCATCTCTGTGCTGGTGGTGGAGCTATGGTGCTTGGTGGTGGTGGTGGTATGCTGCCGCCTCTCCATCCTGCTCTCTGACTTGCTGTGGAAGTAGCGATTTTCCAGGACGAGCCAACCTTCGTCATCGTCCGAGTGTCCACGGCGCTCTTTGTCCAGGCTTGCTGCCTCCTCTCGACCACATTCCTCCTCCCTTCCTGCAGCTGAAAATCCATTGTCGCCATCAGCTGCCTGGGAGCGTTCCTTCGGAGACATGGGCGACTGCACTTCCCTTCCCACATCTGACAACGCTGGCTGTCCACGACCATCCGATTCCACTGATGAATTGACATCGTATGGCGGTGGTGTCTCCTGTCCGTGAGATGACGAGGCATGGCGTTCAACCTCAAGTTCCCCAGCAGCGCCGTCCGGAGTCTCGGTCTTTGCTTGCGAATCGTCACCTTGTGGCGGCAGCAGCTGCTTATCCGGTGACTTCAAAGTGGGGGACGACTTTGGGATTCCCACCAGCGCAACGGCATCTTCCTCAAGCTTCTCCGCGTCCACCGTGGGTGGAGAACGGTGCTGGCGGATGACCTCCTGCGCGAGGATGTCGTCTTCCACGAGCTCTCCTTCATCATCGCCGGCTATTACCACCTCCTCCTCGGGCGTGGATTCGGGTGAGGAGGCAACCTGTAGTGGAGATGCATACGAGTGTGGGGAAGGCAGTCGCTCCGTAGAAGGAGATTCCTCAGAGTGGCCGATGGATGAGAAGTCCGGTGCTTGCTCCGTCGCTTCAGGTTGAGGTTGCATCTCGCGTGTTAGAGAATATTCCGAGTGCAAGGCCAAAGTGTCGACTTCAGGTCGATGCTTGTCAGGTGATGCAACTTCCTCCAGCTGTGGTGACGCAACCTCCTCCAGATGTGGTGACGCAACCTCCTCCAGCTGTGGTGACGCAACTTCCTCCAGCTGTGGTGACGCAACCTCCTCCAGATGTGGTGACGCAACCTCCTCCAGCTGTGGTGACGCAACTTCCTCCAGCTGTGGTGACGCAACTTCCTCCAGCTGTGGTGACGCAACTTCCTCCAGCTGCGGTGACGCAACCTCCTCCAGATGTGGTGACGCAACTTCCTCCAGCTGTGGTGATGCAACTTCCTCCAGCTGTGGTGACGCAACTTCCTCCAGCTGTGGTGACGCAACTTCCTCCAGCTGCGGTGACGCAACCTCCTCCAGCTGTGGTGACGCAACTTCCTCCAGCTGTGGTGACGCAACCTCCTCCAGCTGCGGTGACGCAACCTCCTCCAGCTGTGGTGATGCAACTTCCTCCAGCTGTGGTGATGCAACTTCCTCCAGCTGTGGTGACGCAACTTCCTCCAGCTGTGGTGACGCAACCTCCTCCAGCTGCGGTGACGCAACTTCCTCCAGCTGTGGTGATGCAACTTCCTCCAGCTGTGGTGACGCAACTTCCTCCAGCTGTGGTGACGCAACTTCCTCCAGCTGCGGTGACGCAACCTTCTCCAGCTGTGGTGACGCAACTTCCTCCAGCTGTGGTGATGCAACTTCCTCCAGCTGTGGTGACGCAACTTCCTCCAGCTGTGGTGACGCAACCTCCTCCAGCTGTGGTGACGCAACCTCCTCCAGCTGTGGTGACGCAACCTCCTCCAGCTGTGGTGATGCAACTTCCTCCAGCTGTGGTGACGCAACTTCCTCCAGCTGTGGTGATGCAACTTCCTCCAGCTGTGGTGACGCAACTTCCTCCAGCTGTGGTGATGCAACCTCCTCCAGCTGTGGTGACGCAACTTTCTCCAGCTGTGGTGACGCAACTTCCTCCAGCTGTGGTGACGCAACCTCCTCCAGCTGTGGTGACGCAACCTCCTCCAGCTGTGGTGATGCAACTTCCTCCAGCTGTGGTGACGCAACTTCCTCCAGCTGTGGTGACGCAACTTCCTCCAGCTGTGGTGATGCAACTTCCTCCAGCTGTGGTGATGCAACTTCCTCCAGCTGTGGTGATGCAACCTCCTCCAGCTGTGGTGACGCAACTTCCTCCAGCTGTGGTGACGCAACTTCCTCCAGCTGTGGTGACGCAACCTCCTCCAGCTGTGGTGACGCAACTTCCTCCAGCTGTGGTGATGCAACTTCCTCCAGCTGTGGTGACGCAACTTCCTCCAGCTGTGGTGACGCAACTTCCTCCAGCTGTGGTGATGCAACTTCCTCCAGCTGTGGTGATGCAACTTCCTCCAGCTGTGGTGACGCAACTTCCTCCAGCTGTGGTGACGCAACTTCCTCCAGCTGTGGTGACGCAACTTCCTCCAGCTGTGGTGACGCAACCTCCTCCAGCTGTGGTGACGCAACCTCCTCCAGCTGTGGTGACGCAACTTCCTCCAGCTGTGGTGACGCAACTTCCTCCAGCTGCGGTGATGCAACTTCCTCCAGCTGCGGTGACGCAACCTCCTCCAGCTGTGGTGATGCAACTTCCTCCAGCTGTGGTGACGCAACTTCCTCCAGCTGTGGTGACGCAACTTCCTCCAGCTGTGGTGACGCAACTTCCTCCAGCTGTGGTGACGCAACTTCCTCCAGCTGTGGTGATGCAACCTCCTCCAGCTGCGGTGACGCAACTTCCTCCAGCTGTGGTGACGCAACTTCCTCCAGCTGTGGTGACGCAACTTCCTCCAGCTGTGGTGACGCAACTTCCTCCAGCTGTGGTGATGCAACCTCCTCCAGCTGTGGTGATGCAACTTCCTCCAGCTGTGGTGACGCAACTTCCTCCAGCTGTGGTGACGCAACCTCCTCCAGCTGTGGTGACGCAACCTCCTCCAGCTGTGGTGACGCAACCTCCTCCAGCTGTGGTGACGCAACCTCCTCCAGCTGTGGTGACGCAACCTCCTCCAGCTGTGGTGACGCAACCTCCTCCAGCTGTGGTGACGCAACCTCCTCCAGCTGTGGTGACGCAACCTCCTCCAGCTGTGGTGATGCAATCTTCTCGAACTGCGGTGATGCAGCCACCTCCAGCTGCGGCGATGATAGAGTCTCCTCCAGCCGTGGCGATTTGTCCTCGACTGGAGACTCGGTCGCTCGGTCGAACTGTGGCGACAGTTTCCCCTCTGCGGCTCCGTCGCTGGGCGTGGGGCTCATGAAGCCAGGCGCCTCCAGCGGAGACTCCGCTTCCTCCTCATGCGCTGAAGCAGCGGCCGTCTCGGCTTCCCGCCCGTGCCGTGGTGGAGCGGTCCACAGCTCCTCGAAAGTGCGAGAGGACGAAGACGATTCGATCGCAACCCCCTCCGTCACCTCTTGGCGGCGATGCTGCTGCTGCTGCTGCCGCAGCACGAAGCCGCCTCCGCCCCTCATCAGCTCGGGTTCCTCATCCTCGCCTTCGTCGCTGCTGGCCTGGAAACCGTTACCGTGGAGACCCTGCTCGTGGCTCAGCTCGCTGTAGAACGTGGCCTCCGTGCGGCTCCGTTGCTCATGGTGCTCAAAGCGTTGGTGCTGGGCGACGAGCGCGTGGGCCGCCTCGCCGAGGTGCGGCCGCCCGTGCACGAGACTGTCCAGATCTACGCTCTCCCGTGGTTCCTCCACATCCGCCAGGTCCGAGCCGGTCTCGCACTCGTCTCGCTGGACGCTGCTGCTCGACAGCCACTCCTCGGACGTCTCCGACGTACCGAAGGCGACCTGCTGCGCGCCGTCATCGCCCTCGCTTGCCGCGCGCTCCCGTGACGTCGCCGCCACCGATTCGTCTTGGATGATGACCTCCACTGACCTCACCTCCGAGGTTGGCGATACTGCATCGGTCTCGCTCGTGATGTCGCGATGTTGCTGCGAATCGTCCAGCGATGCCGGCGAAATGGGCGAGTGTTGCCGGTCCGAGACGGGCGACTCCTCGGCTGGATTGTCCTCGTCTTCGTCCTCGTCGAACACGGGCGACTCGGCATCCAAGCTATCGTCCGGGTCAGGAGTAACCGCATCTCGCTCCGCCTCGTCGCCAGCAGCACCATCGACATTGAGCGAGCGGCCACGTGGGCTAATGTCCACAGGGGAGCCCAGGTCTGCAGAGTCGGGACGACTCGACCGGAAGGGTGTCTCCGCCTGGGCCATGGCGGCGCACTGAACGAGTGACGGTGGGGTGTGGCCAGAGGGCATAGGGCTCTCACGGCCCCCAACATCGTCATCGTCATCGCCGCCGCCCGGTGACATCGGGGAGATTTCCTCCAGGAATTCGGTGAAACCTGTGGCGGAGCGGGGGCCAGCGTGTGTTTCCGGGCGGAAGGGAGCACGGTGGGGGGTTGGGGTGGGAGGGATGCGGCGAGACATGTGTGGGCGTTGGAACAACTACTGCACGGACAGGTGGGGCTGAGAGCGTTTCTGGAAGTCGATAATCCCCTCCCCGAGGTACGTCAGTTTAACTGAACGCCAGCGATGAGAGCCGTGCGCGCCATTCGTACGGCTTGTTGCAAGATTCCACATTTGTAAATCGGGGGAGGGTCATTCTTTTTCAGAAACCTTCTCGGGAATGTAACCACCGTGGCACCAGCACCAAGGAGCAAATACGAGGCACAGCACTGACACTTATACGATCACTACTGCACGGGATGGACGCCGTGGAGACAGAGGTTCAGGGTCAAGCGAGACAACGCCGGTGATACGACACCACCACCACTTGACACCACCACCACCACACCGTGTTGTACCCCTTCACTGGAGCACAGTAGCTGCTGACGGGTCTTTTAAAAGTATCACCCCAGTGACGTGGGAAGTCTTAGAGGTACTGGTTGGCATGTACGACCAATTCACGTGAATTTGCTCAATCTCATCAGATTGTGGACGCTAAAGCAGAGTTCAGCCTGGTGAGTAATTGGATGGGAGACTGTGGAAATGCGCAAGCTGCGATTTGACCAGGAGATGGCAGTACAGCAATGGATTCCTGAATCTATGCAAGGAAGCTTTTGAGTGTTGCCCCCTGGTATGTTTTTGGAACTGGACAAAAATGACAATGCAGAGGGCCCATCTGGAAAATGAAGTATTGAGATTCAATGAGGTTTTTCTTGAGTAAATGAAGGTAATTATCAGGTGTGTGTGTATATATATATATATATATAAACTTGCCTGCAATTAAATTTCGATTTAAAGCTTTCGTGACTGCAGGGATTAATCTTCTTGGTTCTTTCGGTAAAGTCATGTAGAAGGGAAATAATAAAATAATAAAAATAAAGCAATAAAATAAAATTCTCACGAAGTGGAGCACTGTCTTTCAGACAGCTCTGTCTTCGCCTGAGGACGGCTGCTTGTGTTGTGGCCAAAACGTCGTGAGAATTTTATTTTATTATGTTTTATTTTTATTACTTTATTATTTCCCTTCTACGTGACTTTACCGAAAGAATCAAGAAGTTGCCTGGAATTAATTAACATTCTAGTTGCAACGTGCAATGTCAATCAGTGGGTGAAATGTGGATAAGTCACTTGCACTGCCACGTGAAAGAGTTTGCTAATCTTCCCGTACACCTGTAGTGATGGTCTGCTATCAGACCGCACACTCATGGCTGAGTGTGCTAATCTTCCCGTACACCTGTAGTGATGGTCTGCTATCAGACCGCACACTCATGGCTGAGTGTGCTAATCTTCCCGTACACCTGTAGTGATGGTCTGCTATCAGACCGCACACTCATGGCTGAGTGTGCTAATCTTCCCGTACACCTGTAGTGATGGTCTGCTATCAGACCGCACACTCATGGCTGAGTTTGCTAATCTTCCCGTACACCTGTAGTGATGGTCTGCTATCAGACCGCACACTCATGGCTGAGTGTGCTAATCTTCCCGTACACCTGTAGTGATGGTCTGCTATCAGACCGCACACTCATGGCTGAGTGTGCTAATCTTCCCGTACACCTGTAGTGATGGTCTGCTATCAGACCGCACACTCATGGCTGAGTGTGCTAATCTTCCCGTACACCTGTAGTGATGGTCTGCTATCAGACCGCACACTCATGGCTGAGTGTGCTAATCTTCCCGTACACCTGTAGTGATGGTCTGCTATCAGACCGCACACTCATGGCTGAGTGTGCTAATCTTCCCAGTACACCTGTAGTGATGGTCTGCTATCAGACCGCACACTCATGGCTGAGTGTGCTAATCTTCCCGTACACCTGTAGTGATGGTCTGCTATCAGACCGCACACTCATGGCTGAGTGTGCTAATCTTCCCGTACACCTGTAGTGATGGTCTGCTATCAGACCGCACACTCATGGCTGAGTGTGCTAATCTTCCCGTACACCTGTAGTGATGGTCTGCTATCAGACCGCACACTCATGGCTGAGTGTGCTAATCTTCCCGTACACCTGTAGTGATGGTCTGCTATCAGACCGCACACTCATGGCTGAGTGTGCGGTCCCATGTCATGCATGAGCTAAGTTTTTGTGTTGGCCCAATGATGCACCCTGCATTTCAGGAAAGGCTGGTTGTCTATGGTGCTGAACCAGCTAATCACTTAAATACATTGATTCTTATTTCCATGGGATAGAATATTTAGCCATAAATTAACTTGTAATTTTAATATATGTATTTCAATGTTATTAACAATTCTTATTTTCATAAATCACGTTTGTCATGACCGTAATTTTTTTCTTAAAATGTTACCTGTTTGTCAGAATATTAATCATTGATCATGATTAAAGTGATATTTGAATTATAGGAATTTATATTTTGAGGAATTTAACACCTAATTTGAACTTGTAAAACATTATTTTCCTTGTTGATAAAAGCGAAGGTATTTAGACTACAATAGTAATGTTCTGATGCGGGGTGCTTCTGTGGGTACACCCGCCACTTGAAAGATGCTGCCAGGTGTGAAAGAGTATCCCAAAAATCCTCTGTAGAGTGCTCGCGTACTCCCTCTAGTCGAGGCCCTTCCACCAGACATGCAATTGCAGGGCTGCACCTTCACCTATGAATTATTATTGCACTGCCTCATGAATTGTGCTTGTCACACGTTCTCATGGCAGCTTTCCTCTAGCCTCACCCACTCCTGTCCCATGAGCGCGTGTGGTTTTCGATGGGGTCTGCTTTACAAGAGGCCGAAGCGAGCAAAGGGTGACCGAGTTTGCAGGAGGCCTAGGGGAGGTGTTGTTGGATGATGAAGAGAGGATAGGAAGGGAATGAGGGAAGGAGATAAAGGGAGGAGGGGGGGGGGATGTGGCACACTGGTGTCGGGAAAGGCGGGAGGGAGGCCTGGGAGCCGCCCTCCTTATGAAACGCAACTTCCTCTCCCCGTGCAGTGTGCCACGGTAAGCTCTACACCGCACTGCACAATGTGTGGGGCAGTGACTTATACCAGTGATAGGGGTCTGGTGTGAACACGCACTACACACACACCCACACACACACATACCCGCACGCTCCTAGATCATTACCAGGTTTCCCGGCAACCAGAAATGTAACCCCAGTGTCTTGGAGCAGTTATCTACACTTTTGCATATTCGCATATTTTGTTTTTATTTATGTATATCTATGGTTTGCTTTGGGGGAAGGGGGGGATGGGTTAATGTTGTCAAGTTTCCTGGGGTGAGCTTTCTATGGAAACCGGAATCCCTGCAATGTCTAGGAGGCACGAAACTCGCAACGAGGGACCGAGCCGTACATCAAAAGACGCACGGCCCTAATTTTGCATATTTGAATTTAAAACACATTATTACTATTACAGTACGGTGTTATGTTTTAAATCAATAGAAGATTAGTGAATGCTACGTTGCCATAGAAAGAATGTTTAAAAAAAAATATAGCGTAAAATTATTATTAAAAATAAAAGTGATTCGTAGGGAATATAAGTTCAAAGCAACCGACTTACATTTTGCTTTGCATGCACTGCGCTCTTAAAAGAAAAAATACTTTAAAAAATAAATGCCACCTTTACATTTGCCAAGCCGTTAAATAGCAAACGCAAATCATTTGTTCTCGTCATAGTTAAGCAAAAAAAACATTTGGGAAACGAAATATTAGTCGTAAAAATTTGTCATAATTCACGGAAGCCAAAGAAACCGAAGAGAAGGCGACTCAAACACAAAACGGACACCGAGGGTGGAGACATTGGCATGGCGCCGGGCGTGAAACATGAGAGAAGCAACATCGATGCGGTGCAGGATGGCGTGCGCTGTTAATGTGGCCCGACTGACGGTTCCCGTCGGAAGGAAGGAAGCAGGAAGGAAAACAGAAAAGAAAACAAACAACAGGAAGGTTAATAAACAAAGTGAACAAGTGAGAGAAGGCTTTTTCTGACCAAGGGTCTTTTTTTGTACCGTAACCTTTCCTTTGATGCTTCCGCCAAAAATAACGAATTGCCAGGTGAGGCAGTGGTCGTCGGTGTTGTATGATTAGAATTATTACCGTCGTCTGCATTGCTACCATTTCAGTATTTATCTGTGACCTCCTCGCCCATGTGGCACGGCTCCATAACTCTAAGCGGTGTTTTGCCTGTTGTCCCACATTGCACTCCCACGTGAAAAAGCTCCCGGCACGTGGAGCGACGTGGGACATCGTGCTAAACAAACGCACCGTACAATTAGAAATCGCGTTGGGAGAGCGATGCTCACTCGATGGCAGTCCCATAGCCGACCACGGTTCACTGGTTTAGACCCGAGTGTTGATGACGAGTTGCTTCGTGATCCACAGCTTTGAAGGCGAGGGTTGGGTAGGTGGATTACGTGAAACTCCCAAACACGCTGGGGGCTGCTAGATGGCCAGGAGACACCGGTTCAGAATGTCGGTTCATGAACACATCTGTGCGACTCCTTTTGATATGCCTACTGGCTTTTCTTTGGGTTTTCAGGTTTTTTTCTCACATGCAAAATGTGATTTCAAAAGGAATTAGCCATAAATACCAATTGGCCACTTATCTAAATTCTGCTGAAGAAGTGACGGTACCCAGGATCAATAATACGAATATATTATATATTTGGAAGTCAGTAGCTGGGCTGATGAACCATTAGGAGGGTAAAACGTTCAGCACCTCCAACATTCAAAACTGTTAACACCGTTTCAGAAGGCCTGTTAGTTGAAATGCGGAGTTATATTTGTTATCAAGTAACACGTACCTTTCTCACTATATAAAACAATTAGTTTTATAACTTGGCAGTGATGTCAAATCAGGTTGGTGGTTCATACACGGATGATGATCCATATTACTCCCAAATAAAAATACCATACTACAAAAACATGGATCCAACCACTCCAAATCAGGGCTCTCCTGATGCCAACCCGGAGCTGAGCGAACTTGCGCCAGGTCATACCAGCAAAGTCAGCATCAGCCTGTGTGTGGAAGTGGCTCGTGAACGACGCGACTGGGCAGCTGATAGCAGCGCTCCCTTCAACAGCAACATGAGAGTGACATTCACAATAGAAGGGCAGTGTAAAGTGGTTGTACAAGGGGGTCTGTGAGGATACAGAGAAGCTCCGCTAATAACATTGTTCCATCACTCAAGCAAGCTTCCCAAAATCATCTTGGCCTTGAATAAAAAATAGAAAATATTGTCAAAGTGCACCTAGAGTACGCAGAGACATCACTGTGACATTATTACCACTAATTATTTAAAGACGTTTTCACTGTCTGTGGTCGTTAGTGCTAGTGTGTGTGTGTGTGTTTTTGCTCGGTGCTTTTAATGTCGTGTAGATTGGATGGTGTGGAGTGATGCAGTGTGTATGGCATGATCTGTTTGTTGTGGTCTGTATAGTGCAATGTAATGTGTTACGCAGAGTTGTGTGGTGTGGTTGATTTAGTGTGTTTTTATGTTATGCTATGTATGATCAGCTATTTGTGTCGCCCTCCGAGATGTGTCGTCTGTATATTCGAGTCATCCGTGTCACACTTTGCGTTGTTCCGAGTTGTGTGCTCTGTACGACGGAGTCTTGTTTTCTGTGTGGTTGTGTGGTTTCTACAGTCGAGTCATCCGTGTTACACTTTGCGTTGTTCCGAGTTGTGTGCTCTGTAGGACGGAGTCTTGTTTTCTGCGTGGTTGTGTGGTTTCTACAGTCGAGTCATCCGTGTTACACTTTGCGTTGTTCCGAGTTGTGTGCTCTGTAGGACGGAGTCTTGTTTTCTGCGTGGTTGTGTGGTTTCTACAGTCGAGTCATCCGTGTTACGACCCTGTGCGCGTGTGGCTCTGTGCTCCCACCGGCGGATGTGTCGAGCTGCATGGTCTGCTCGAGCTCGCTGTAGGAGAAGGATGCCTCGGCGGCGCTCTCTCGCTGCCCGCTCTGTCCGCTCTGCACCAGCCCCACGAGATCAGCGCGGTTGACGCGCACCAGCGCCGGGATGAGTCTCCCCGCTGAGTAAACAAAGCACACGGGGATACGCGCGTTGGTACGGTCTTGCAGCTTACCCAGTAGTGCGTAGGCAGTGCAAATGTGCCAGGGCCCATGGGTTGTGGGGGGGGGGGGGGGGTCCAGGCGCAATCATATGGACCAGTGGCATAGGATGGCTGGCATGGGTCCTGGTGTAAGAAGTTTATTTGTGTTTATAGTTGCGGTGAGCTTGTTGGTCCAAAAATATCTTATTGGTACGACCCAGGGTGGCTAATGCTGCCACTGATTTTCTTTTAAGGAACATTTTTCTCGATTACAAATATGTATGATAGCAAGGTCAGCGTAATAGCATTTTGAGAAAAATGGCATTAAATTATGGCATAGGTGCATTTGGTAGAGAAAAACCCCCTGAAATTAAACATCTACAGAACATGAAAAATACTGGTGTGCGTGTATATATTAAGCCTTCTGTAGATGGTGGATACTGCTCACAGCATTTGCCTCACCAGGTGTTACCAATCAACCTCTCCCCCCTATTATAATAAACAGCCCCTATCGCCAAGATGTGACCAGGACGGTTGTGCACATTAGTCGATCACGTGGAGGGGGTTTTTACCCTTTTATCTGGCAACAAAACTGACATCTTTTTTACGAGGAGTCATGTTTGCATAGACCACAATATCTGCAGTCATAATGCAAAAAAACCCATGTGAGACTTGGCTCTAAGGAAAGCTGTCTCGGGTATGGACCAATCAACTTCAAGGACAGTGCATACATTAGAGTTATGTTTTTTGTTCGCATTATGACTGCAGGTATTGTGGTCTATGCAAACATGACTCCTCGTAAAAAAAAAGGTGTCAGTTTTGTTGCCAGATAAAAGTGTAAAAAACCAATTATATTTTTTACTGGCAAATGAGGTACCAATGGTGCACGTGGAGGGGGTTTAGTCGCGCGGGAGAGGGCGGACGTACGTGTGGCGGTGGTGCCCTCCCTCTCGGCCCACAGCTTGAGGAGGCTCGCCGCCTGGTCCACCAGAGACTCGGGGTTGTCCTCACGAAGCTGTCGGATCTGCTCGGCCGAGAAGCCCAGCTCCCTCGCCAGCTCTGCTTGGCACAGTGGATGTAATGTTTGTTTGCTGTGGTTATTTCATCTGCGATCAGAATCTCGTTATTTATTCTGGAGGAATCCATTGGACTATGAAACTCTTTTTCACGGATGTCCAGTAGGGGCGGGTCGGCGAGTTCCAACTCAGGCCAGTGTTTTGCAGGTCATATGATTAGCGAGTCCTCTTTTTTTTCACGATACTTTTGTGTAATGCGTAAAAAAATCGGATAACACATTCCTGCGGAGGGAGCTGGTAGGAACGTTGGGTTGCTCGATCAATGGCCAGGGTCAACGGTGGCGTGGTGTATTCCGTAAATATGGCCGACTGTGAGGGCGGTCTCAAGCCGGCGTGAGTAGGTTAAACGTTGAGTTTTATAAGGGCACCACGGGGTGACCAGCCCCTCCCCACCCAGCCCCACCCCCTACCCAGCCCCACCCTCCCCACCCTCCCCCTCCCCACCCTCCCCTCTCCACCCAGCCCCGCCCATTTTTGGATGCACGACGGACGGACACAATTATCCCCTGTGGGCTGATGTAACCAGGAGGTTCCTACCAGTATAAGCAAGTACACTGTTGTATGCCTCCCACACGTAAATACATGTTTTTAGCCCATCGGCCTATTTATTTGGCTATCCAGACCAATATTATCAAGCAATATTTGTTTACGCAAGTAAACTCTGGATCGGTCTCAATGTTCTGGGTCTCCTCAACAGAGTCGAGTTGTGTTAAATGTTGCTGGGTTGCATATCTAGTTTGGTGGTCAGATACGTTGATCTGTTAATTGTATTCTTTTGCTGTTTTAGCGTGAACCTAAGTAATTTGTTATTACCTCAACTGCCGTGGGCTCTACCGGTGGATTTACCAGCTTGGCGTTCCAGGGTAGGCTATAGACCTGTTCAAGTAAACATGCCAATGCTGGGTTCACGTTGGCGTATTGCTTAGCCCATTGTTCCATGTTTACTGGGAGAGCTACGAGGTGGCCACCAGAGGGTATGTATGATAATCAGGTGTCCCTAGCAAAGCAATTACCAAACAGTCACTCCATGAAATGTTTGTACTCCCTCTCCAGGTCCGGTAATGCCTTCTCTGCAGTAGACTTAAGTTGCAAAATGTCCTGTAAAATTTCCAAGACAATCATTGTTCCTTCATCGAATTTGTGCCACAAGCATGGCGCGACTTCCACATTGTACTGAATTCATTTGCGGATTGTTGGTGCAAAATTACACCTTGCCATATTTACAACATGTTACCCTATTTGTATTTTTGTATTTTAAGATTGTATATTACGGCTAGTTTACATTTTATATTGTATACTTATTCAAAATTTTACATACTTTAGCCCCTGAGTATTAGCTAGACTTTGTAATTTTAGTATAGTTAGACTTATTTAAGTTTTAAGATTCCTACATGTTGAATGTATGCACCTTCCTGCCATAGTAAATTCCTTGTTTGTGCGAACTTTCATGGCGAATTAAACCCTTTCTGATTCTGATTGCTCACCATTTTTTCAACGAATTTTCGTTTTCCAGTTATACGTGAAAAAAGAAAATGTATATTTCAAAAAATCCGTCGCACTATGACGATGACCATGAGGTACTATCAGCTTGTACCTCAACACGTAATCCTCATTACCTCCTCACTTCATCCCAAAACAACTTACCCTCTCACCCTCACCATCTGACCCCCCCCCCCCTGACCATCACCGCCGCCAATGTGCGGGATGGTGCCAGTGGCCCCTCGTAGGAAAATTCAGCACTGACCTTGCCAGCTGAGGCCAAGGCTCTTGGCGAGCGCTGGAACTCCGCCATCACCGCTTGGACCTGCACGACCAGCGACCATCGTCAGCGGCATTAACACCACTGCCGCCACCGTCATCGTCATTTCACTGGGCACTAAACGGCAGCACCATTGCCAAATCCATAAACAGCAGCAGCAGCACCAGCATCGACATCATTCTTATTCTAGTCATAATTGTAAGCAATATTATGAGCGCCACCACATCAGCAACATTCACAAACAGCATCATCAGCAGCAGCAACCACCACTGCCATCATTATTGCAAAAGTGATCAACCAGCAGCAAACACCACCAAACATCATGATGATCGTCGTCATCATTAACAACAATGGAATGACGCATGCAGCACATGGGACGTGAGATACGGGTACACATGGGGGTCAATTTGAAGGCAGGAAAACACGGCACAAGACGCACAAGGACCACGGAGGCATGGGAATGCAGTGGGAAGCACACAACACATCTGCTACGGCCTACCACAAGTAAGCTTTCCAAAGCCTACATTAAAGTTCTGTGTATTTAAAAAAAAAAATTTGATGAAAATAGTTCCAATGCATCTAATTATATTCGTTATTGCGGTTTTTTTTAGCTCTGGGGTTTCTGTGCATAATCGAAAAACCTCGTTCTTTTTCACCCACCGTACCACCAAGTTGCACGTGACGGGACAAGTCGGTCCGGTCGGGCACAGGACAACCGCTCGTGACAACAACAACAACGACATGACAGGCACGGGTAGAGCAGTAGGGGCAAGGCACACGTCGTGACGACGTCACACATCACGTACACGCACACACAGGATATGAACAAGAGGACGCCACTGGATGTTGTATGAAAGCCAATCAAGGCACAACATGGTGCCAGAGAGGGCATGATCAGGTGTGAGGTTGGGATAGGGCAGGACATCAAGGAATGAGCACAGTACGACTACGTCATTGGCAGGACAAGACGGCACGGCACAGAGGGGGCGAATGATTGCGTTTCGAGAACAGAGCATCCGGGACTTCCGTTTTAGAAACGTGCTTCTCAAATTCAATGTCGAGAGTCAAGCATTTGAAAGCCACTTCCAATAATGAGAAGACATCCTAAGGCGTGTAATTGGGGGAGGGGGAGGGGTTTGGGGGGGTTTGGGGGCACTTGCGTACCCACATTTGGTGCCATAACCCCAAGGGGAGGTGCCTAATTGTGCCGAGGGTCGTTTTTTTTAAGGTAAATGCAGTGTGCAGATGTGCCCGTGGCAAACTTAACGCGGTTATCTTGATTAATGTTGCCGTTTCGAGAGCGGGATAATTTAACAGCACAGTGCTCGTGATTGCATTCATGAAGTAAATTAAGCAAAGGGCCGTTCCATGGCCAAAAGGGAATTGAAATCGAGCTAATTTAATTAACCTTTAGTTTCTTGTGAAATGATTAGCAGCTTGTTTCATTTACATATCACTGTCTAAAAAGGAATTCTGCTCAAGTGCTGATTATTTTAAGAATATATAAATAGGCGAGTGACATTGTTTATTATTTCAAATATTTATTTATTCCCCCAGTAAGGAGACTTAAATGCCTGTCTAAGGCATGGCAGGTCAGCATAGATCAGAATTGATCTCATGGCAAAGATTTGTTTTCATTATGCCGTTCCGCCTGTTATCTCAAAAAGGCCACGTACCCCCCCTCCCCATCTGCAATGGGCTCCAGTAACGGAACTTAATCGAGTTCTTGTGGCTGTCACCTGCTCATTATAAATACATACTATAGGCAGACACAAGCAGCACCCTGTGGAGGTGGCAACTGCTGCTATCTGCCAGCACTGGATGCGCTGCCCTGACACACAACAATTCGCCGCTGCCGATGGAGAGAGAGAGAGAGCTGTACAAACTAGGCTCATGTGTGGTGACGGGAGCGATGGACTGGGTATCCCCAGGCTCCCCGGCTCCATAAATCCTCTGCATCTGCGTCTCGACGGCCTCCTCCCACACGGGTCGCGTTTCTGCTCGCTCCCCGGCCTCGTGGGCCTGAGTGACCACTGGTGGTGGTGGTGGGAAGGCAGCGCCCCCTCCTCCTCCCACTGCCGGGATCTCTTCCCTCACTGTGCGGTCGTCGTCGTCATCGTCATCGTCGTCATCGTCGTCGGTGGCGGCCGAGTCGTCCTCGCAGCCGTCGTCTTCCGTGAGCCGCTCGGCGAGCTTCTGCGCTTCGTCGCTGATCTCCTCAAAGTACTCGAGCGAGTGCTGGTACAGGTCGTGGAAGCGGGGATCTCCGCCGCCAAACATAAATCCTCCTGCGGCCGCTCCCACTCCTCCTCCCGGCTGCTGGGATGCCGGCGCTCCCCTCGTCGTCCCTGCCGCTGCTTTCACTGGGATCCTCGATTGCGGTTTGGTCACCTTGGACGCACTCTCCGTCAACTCAAAGTTCAACTCCTGTTCTGTTAACTCCCCGAGGAGATCCTGCTCCTCCGCGTATCCTCGCTGCTCAGGAACCACTGGCTGTGTCGGCCTGCTGTGGCCGAGTTGCTGCTGCTGCTGCTGCTGTTCAAATATCTCTTGGTCCCTGGACACTGCGCTGTCTTCGTGTTTCTTTGGAAATTTCAACGTCCTCGTCACTCGCTGCTGTTGTTGCTGTGGCTCACCTTTCTGCTTGTCAGCCCATTCGTCGTGCGCGTCCCTCGGCATGGCACTCACCACGGCGGTGCTGCGCACAGGGATCTTGGAGCGGTGGTCGCTGGGAGCGGCCTCCGCCGTTGGGATTTCCACGATGAGCTGAGAATCAACTTCGTGGTCGTCGTGATAAACAGACCCCGCTACTGCCGCCTCTCTGTGCCTTGGCGACAAAGAGAGGACGTCTTGTTGTTGCGAAGCGATCTCCTGGAGCTCCGCCCAGGATTCTCGCACAAACGGCTTCACCTCGGCAACTTCGGGAGCTGGCGCCTCCTTGCGTGTGGTCTTCGCTGATGCAGAGACGCCCATCTTGATGGGGATTCTGGACTTGGGCTCCGTCTTGGCCACCGTGGCCCCAGATCCATTGTCATCGAGCGACTCCGAGAACATTCCGTGGTGAGTGTCCCGTACGGGCGACAGATCGTCCGCCTGCTCTGCCGCCGACTCTCCTCCGAACTCCAGCACGGGTTTGTTGCGGTCAACCTGGCACAGCTCCAGATGTCCACCGTCGGCGGCCGATTCCTCGTCCGACTTCCTCCTGTTTCCTCCATCCTGCTCGCCCAGCTGGAAGAACTGCACGCCCTCCTCTCCAAACTCCCGCTTGCTCATGTCGATGGCACCGCCGCGCGTCATCTCGAACATCTTCCCTTCGCAGAACGGGAAGGGGACGATTTCCTCGGTGGGGGACACCTCGATGCCGGTTGGGGTTCTAGCCGGCGATCCCTCCTTGTGGTCACTCCGTGAAGCGGTGGCAGATTCCTCCATCAGCCGTACAACTTTCTGCTCCTCTTCACTGAGCCGTTCCTCGAAGGCCAAGTCGTCATCTCTGACGCTCGCCCACGACCTAAAGTCAGCTGCCGCTGCCCCCTCCTCCTCTTCCTCTGCTGTCGTCATGCCAGTTGAGCTGAACATAACTGACGTCTGAGCCTGGGAGAAGTGGGTGGCCTCACTTACGTTGGCCGTAGTCATCATGGACCTTTCTGTGGAGTAATGTCCATCAGCCTGGTAGGCGGAGGAGGTCTCGACCATCTCCCGCATGGACGTCATTACTTTGGTGCTGCTCATCGTGGAGGTCTCCGTCGATGTCCTTTGCTGCTCGGTCCACGCGAACGTTTCCTCTCCGTGGCCTGCAGCGTCACTCACTTGCTCGCGTGTCAACTCTGACTTGCCATCCGGTCGTTGGTGCTCTGCTGCAGATGTTGCAAAGGAGCGGCGATCACCCGGCGTATCCTTGAGGCTGTCCTCTTCCTCAGGGCTCGATGGGCTGTCGTCGTCTTTGGCTCCAGGCGGGAGAGGTGACGGTGGCTCCACGCGAATCGCCGGTTCGTCCAGAAGTCCGCTCTCGTGGCTCTGCCGCAGCTCCCCGAGCTCTGGCTCACTTTCTGGAGAGGAAGTCGCTCCAAATTCTTCTTGTTCTCGTTCTGCGCCCTTTGGCATCGTCTCATGATGATCAGCAGAAGAGTCATGTCGTGAAAAGCTCTGGTGGGATGAATATTCGTATGAAAAGGTCGACCCAGTGACTCCGGTCTTAGTTTCGTGAGTGACAATCGTCTTGAATCCCCTGCTAACATTCATGTTATCGTCATCGTCATCATGTATGTTGTCATCATAGTAGTACGTTTCGGGCTTCTTTCTGGCCTTGGCTTCCTCCTCAAGAACGCCAAATGTTTTTATCTTAGCTGCCATCTTGAACATGTATTCCTCTGGCGTTGGGGGTTTTGCGACATTCGGTTCTTGCTGCTGCTCCTCTTCACTCGCTGTCATCATTGAGAGGAACTCGTCGGTTGCATTTTCAACTTGTGCGTTCTCAATCCCCGAGGTATCTTCATCCTCTTGCTCTTCCAGAATAACAGTGGGCTTTTGCGGAGGTGCCTTGAGGTCGATGACAGCACCTGGGGTCACCTCGTAACTCACCTCCTCCGAGCTGGGTGTCTCAGGAGTGGCTGGACTCTTCCCCGAACTCTCCATGAGCGACGTTTGCTCCAGGCTGTCTTCATCCGGGCTTCCCTGCGGCGACATCATGGCTCTGAGCGATCGTCCGATGGCCGATTCAGCTTTGCCCTTTGAGTCGATCGCCCTCTTCAGTTTGTCCGGCAGCTCTTGGGAGGTCCCGCGTCTCGACGTCCCGTGCACACCTGCAATCTCCGGCAGCTGCTCGGACGCTCTGAGTTTGACGGGACTTGTCTCGAGGGAGTCGGGCAGCGGGTATTCCTTCAGCGGGCTCGGCTCCAGCGAGTCGGGAGACTCCTGCGAAGACGCTCCGGCCTCCTCCTGGTCGGGGCTGCCCTCCAGGGAGTCTTTCTGCGCAATCATGGAATCGTCGAGTGACGGGCTGTTTGCGTTGGGTGACACCAAGCCGGAGAGGTCCATGCTGGGTCGCCCCGTCTCCGTTTTGCCGTCCTCTTCAAGTTGCGTCCACTGAGAGTCCATCTCGTGGGTGTCCACCACGTCTTGAGCCAGCTTCTCCTCAGACTCCACCAGGTCCTCGGCTTCGATGGGAGACAGGGCTTCTTTTTCTTCAACAAAGGAGCTCTCTTTGACCGAGAGGTCGCGCTCCGTGTCCTGGTCTGATCCGGTAGGGGATGTGATGGCGTCAGGGTCCACAGGTCCCAGGAGGTCGCTCATGAGTTCCGTTTCGGACGCCATAACATTCCTTGCCAGTGATGGGGGGCTCTCATCATCGGTCACGGCGCCCTCCTTCGGGTACGACGAGTACAGCTCGCGCTCGATCTTGTGCTCGGCCTCCGTTGGGGACACGGCGTGCTCCGTTTCGCTCAGCTGCTCCATCCGTGTCATCTTCTGCCAGGTGTACTCACTACCACCCACCATAAGCGGCTCCTCATCCTCCTCCTCCTCCTGCTGTTGCAGCCTCTCGGAGAGGTGTCGGTCCTCTAGTGTGTCGTAACCGTCCGCCGCCGCAGGGTGTGGGACTGCTGCAGCTGCAGCTCCAACTTCGTCTTCTTCAAGAGGTGGCATCTCATCACTGCCTGCGACACCAACCTCCATAACTCCTCTGTGTCTGTACTCTTTCTCCTCCTCCTCTTCTTCCTCCACAAAAGCGTCGTGCGAGATGTGGGTTGACTTCACGATGGTCTTGGAAGATGTCTTTGAGTCGACGACGGTTTGTCCCACGGACACCTCCGTGTCCTTTTGGGTGCCTTTCTGCGGGGATGTGGAGAGGCTGGCATCCTCGGGACTCGTCTCCAGGGTCTCAGCCAGCCCCTCATGCTTGAGGCTTTCCTCGGAGCTGATGTGCGACGTTCCATCTCCCAGGCTGACGCTCGACAATTCTGCGATCCCCTCATGCTTTTGGCTGTCGGAGCTGCCATTTTCAAGTGCCGGCACGACAACTTCTTTTTGGGACGGCTCTTCCGGTGTGTCTGCCTCCTGTTGAGTGGCGCTCTCCCGCTCCTGCTCCCGCTCCTGCTCCCGCTCCTGCTCCCGCTCCTGCTCCCGCTCCTGCTCCCGCTCCCGCTCCCGCTCCCGCTCGGTTGGGAACGGGCTGGATATCATGTCGTCAAAGTGGAACTCGCTCAGCGTCTGTCGGTCTGTGCTCTTCTTGTACTGCTGGTAGCGGTCGCTCTCCTCCAGTTCATTGCGCAGGTCCTCTGAGAAATCCGTCGATGTCCGCCGGTCGGGGCTGATCTGGCAGTCCGAGAAGCGCCGGTCATCCGAGACCACGTTTGCCGACAGGCTGCTCCCCGGCTCCTTGAACCCGGACTCGGTGACGTCGGACCCCTCCTCGATCGTCTGCTTCCCCAGCTTCTCGGGTAAAGCATCGCGAGCTTCGTTGATGATGACCTGGGAGCACTGAGCGATGATGCTGACTTCGCTAAAGTTGTCGATGTCAGCGCTGTCTGCCTCTTCTTCTGTGAAGCTCGTGGTGGCTTTAGTTGCATCATCTGTGGTTGCTTCTGAGATGATAGTGGGGGCTTCTACGTCTGGTTCACCGTCCTCTTTCGCGAGCACCTCGCGGTGTTCACGCTCGTGCTCGATGTCATCGTGTTTCAGTTCGGTCGATGCTTCCCAGCTGCCCGTGTTTGACTCTGTCTCGACCTTTGTCATCGCCTGCTTGCCTTTTTCCTCGCCGGACACAGATTTGAACTCAAAGAGTCCCATGGCGACTTTTGAAGGATCTTTGCCAGACTGGAATGCTCTCATCAGGTCTTTTACTGACATTGTCTCCTCCAGGCTCTCTGAACTCTCCCTGCCTTTGTCTTCGAGCATGCACGATTTTCGTCACCTTGTTCACTGTCGTGGAGGTCACGGTCGTTTTGGCCGTTCCGTGTTCCTCGAACGTGTGCACCTCTTTGGTGATGGATGCACGTTTGTGTTGTTGCCCCTTCTCCGCCTCCACCTTCATCTGGATCGCCCTGACCCGATCTTTGATGGATCCGATTGGAGTTTCCTCCACACCTGGAGACTTGGGCGCTGGCTCTGAATCTGCAGTCGACAAAAACGAGATGGACTGCTGCGGTTGAGATGATGCCTCTGCTGATACTTGCTCCTCAGGTTGATGTAAGTAGCTCAGCTCCTGGGTCGATTGTTTGATTGTTTTCGAAAGGGTTCGTACTCTGACAGGAGGGATTGGGGGGGTCACAATCGGCATGTCGTTTCTTTGTGGTGCCTCCATTTCTGAAGAACTCGTTCTCTTGGCTGGCTGAGAATCTCCGCCTGCCGTTTTTTCCACTGGCACGTCGACCTCATCGTAATCCGTATCTGATAATACTTCGGTCGCAGACTCCCGGGCGACGAACACCTGCACGATGTCCTCGCTAACGATTTCGCGGCCCTGAATCTCGTCCCCCTTCTCCTCTTCACGTTTCTGGCTCTGCTCTTGCACCGCTTCCGTATCCCATGCGAGCAGCTCCACGATGCCGGCATCATCCTTCGCACGAGCGGCGAATGTCTCCACGGGGCGCACCGTTTGCAGCACGACCTCCTCTTCCTCCCAAACATCTTCCTCGTCCAGAGCCACGCCCCTCGCGGCCTCCTCGACCTCTTCTTCGTCGATGACGGACCAGTCTTCTTCGTCTTCCTTCTCCTCCTCCTCGCGCGCCAACGCCACGGCCGCCCGCTTGTTTGCATGCACTCCGTCGTGGCCCCGCTGAAGGATGACGCTGACCCGCTCCAGGTCCTCCTTGACCATCCCCACCAGCTCCATGGGCTCCTCCTCATCGTGGAGGCCCCGCACCCTTCCTTGGTGGTGCAGCCTGGAGGAGGTCACCTTGCCGAGGGTGTCCGAGTCAGTGCCGAGGAGGGCCGTGACCTTGAGGAGGTCTTCCTTCATCTCGGCCACTTCGAGGAGGAGAGCGTGCCTCTGTGGAGACTTTACCTCCCTTTCTCCTCCTGGCGCCCCAGCTTTGTGTTTTCCAGCAGAGAGCAAATTAACGGAAAAATTTGCAAAGCAAGAACGGGAAATAAATACGAACGGGAGAAGAAACAAACAGAACGAGGAAGGTAAAGAAAAAAAAGATGACAAAGAAAGAAATTTGAGAAGTTGTTTTTTTTGGGTTAGGGTAAGCACAGAGCACAAGGGCAGCTTTTGTCAACAAGTGAACAAAATAAAGGCACACTACAAAGTGAAACATTCATGACCTGAGAATGAGGAGGTGGTGACGAGGTGAGGGACGCATGGCTAACGTAAATAACACGTGTGTGTGTGAAGCGTCACACTGGCATCATGCAGCATGAGCCTCCAGTCGCAGAACATGCAGACACAAACACTAACTACACTTCTGACACCCATGTGCTTTCAAACACATACGTGCGCGCTCAATTAAATGTACGCTACACTACAAGCATTGTCCTTTAACTCACTGATTCTCCTCCTGATTGTAAATTGGCAGCACTAGCGGGCCAAGCCTGACATCAAATGTCCAACCCCACGATAATATATATAGTTATACATATATATCGAACTAAAACAGCAAGTCTTCTTGGTTCTTTCGGTAAAGTCACTTTACCGAAAGAACCAAGAAGATGAATCCCTGCAGTCACGAAAGCTTCAAATCGAAATTTAAAACAGCAAGATCAAAAATTTGCTGTTATTAAAAACAAATGTAATAAACCATTCATGCAGTGGCAGTAGCATCATCAAAATACTCGTGCGTGACAAAAACTTTCAAGAATGGATGGAGAACAGAAGAAAATAAGTTCCGGGACATGAGTGGCGGCACAAGACGGCAGCATGCAGGCACACGAGCAGGGTGAGCTCCGACCAAGTGAAATGGCTTTTTCCAGCCAGCAATTCGAGGCCAGGTGGTGACGAAAAGCAAGAGGGGGGAAAATCTGAATTGGATTGTCATGGAACAAATTATGACAAATCCATGAGGTTTAAGAACAAACGTCATGCTATTTTTTCCCCACAGAATACTTTTCTGTATCCGCTTTTGATCAATATTCAATAGACCGGGCGATCATAAAGTTCCTCGCAAGTTGTGATGTTCTATTATTTGCAAACAAATGCTTACGTTTGTACTGTCCTTTATGTCAATGCAAAAGTTATAATAAATTCTAAAACATATTCTTGGTTCTTTCGGTAAAGTCACGTAGAAGGGAAATATTTAAAGAATAAAAATATAAAACAATAACATTGTCACGACGTTTCGACTGCAACACAAGCAACCATCATCAGGTGTGAAAACCACATTTTCTTGCTGTGGATTTCACACCTGATGATGATTGCTTGTGTTGCAGTCGAAACGTCGTGAGAATTTGATTGTTTTATGTTAGTATTATTTTATTATTTCCCTTCTACGTGTCTTTACCGAAAGAACCAAGAATATGAATCCCTGCAGTCACGAAAGCTTTAAATCAAAACATTCTAAAACGTTAACTTATTTGTTAGCTGGTTGGAGCCGAATTGTTTACTCCTTGTAGCAGTAGCCCTGTAGCTCGTTAATGCACTCCAGGCACGCTCACAGTCAATCACTCTCATGTTACTATTATCGTTAATAGCAATGGAATTATTCTCGTGAACTTAATGCCATGAGACCTCCACTAATATCAAGGGCTCTGTCTACCAGTTTGACTGTGGGTGACATGGCGGGTTAAGGTCATCTGGGCTACGAGTAGTAGAGGGCAGTGGAGCTCAGGTTTACGGAGCGGAGACACTGTCTGAGAAGCCACTGAGCCATGGATGATTACGATTAAATCAACCGGCTGCATTTGTCACGAAACGTTTGACGAAGCTTTCAAAATGGACTACAAGTTGAAGTGGAAGAGGCTGGATAGCACGAGTATAAATTCCAAAATTTTAAGGCGTATTGCAAATCTGTAGCAGCATTGTGAAGATGGATTACTTTAAACATGGGGAGGGCACTGTATGATCACCCTGTCTATATCACTGTGCATTATTTAAGATACATTTATAAAAAAAAAAAACAGTTCTATAATTGAGGCCCATTTGAACCGTTGGAAGTTGTTCTCTTTCATTACTGCACAGATTTTATGGATTACATATGAATACATAGTTGTATCTTTATAAACTCTCAATTTCATGCGTTCGCAGCTGCATGAAGCTGCTTGCACCTGAACAGATCCATTCCATTATCAACCGTGGCCAGCGCCGCTGTGAACGACTGGAGGAGATTGGTAAATGGGTCAAGGCGAGAGCCTGTGGGTGGACTGCGGGGTTTGGCATTTTGATGGATTGCGCGTCTCTTTCTTCCCACGCCTTGTGTCAGCAGCTTCTGTGATGCCATGGGGAACTCTTTTCTTTCCCCTCCCAAATTGAAAATTATGAATTAGGGATAAAACAAAAAAGTGGCGTTTTTAAACACTAAACGCAAATCCTTGGCAGATACTCAGCTCTGTAACACGATATAGAACAGAAACCATCGGAAAATCACTACAACATTTAACACATTTCTTGTTGGTGTTTTTCTTCCCACTGGAAGAGTTTTCAAAGACCGCGATAACCTCAAGCTCATGGATTCACAAAGCCAAATTTCACGCACCTCCTGGCATAAAATCTTGAGTGCAGAATTTTAAATACACTTATGTCAGCGTCCTAGCGTACTGATATGCATGATCGTTTAGTGGATGTTAAGCAAGGATATTGTTTACCATTTGCAGCTGATATTGCTTCTTTTTAGGTGGCCTATTCTGGGTTTTTTCATTCCAAGTAAAATGTTCAGTTATATTTTTAGAAAGCCCTTCATGTATTAGCATTTGGCCTAGTTCATGAGATAACTACATGGCATGATCTCGGCTTGTTAGTTTTTAGATGACGGCGCCCAACTCCGATTATTGTGGGGAGGGTAATCGAATCCGCCACGAGTTTTACTAATGATATGTATGCACAGGTGGTTTATGACACTCACAGGTGAATTGTTGTGCACATGAACCAGATCGCCATTTTCTCCACGTGATCACCCTCTATAGATTGGCACCTGTGCCAGTGTCCCACAAGCAGTGGTACTGGAGTCTTGCGGTTGTGGTTTCTATGCCGTGGCTGCACCAACTACCTCCCAGCAGAGGTCGCAAACGGGTTTTGATTCTTTACCCGTACCCGTACCCGGCCGCACCAGGGTCGCAAACGGGTACCCGTACACGTACCCTACCCGATACTCGGCTACCCGTACCCGGCCGGGTATCGGGTAGGGTATGGGTACGGGTACCCGATTGCGACCTCTGGGATGAAGCCATGTTGCAGGCGCGGGTGAGTTGATTCTAGGAACTTGAATTGTGAGAAGAGACAAGACGTTGGGAAATGAGTGACAAACGGTTACTCACCAGTGACTCACGGCCTACCCGTGCCCGTACCCGGCCGCACCAGGGTCGCTAACGGGTACCCGTCCGTACCCAGTCGGGTATGGGTAGCCGGGTATCGGGTAGGGTACGGGTATCGGGTACCCGGTTGCGACCTCTGCCTCCCAGGTTACACTGTTATTCCAGAGGTCCCAGCAGATGCCAAGTCTACAGGGTCCTAGGTCTGCACTGTTAACCGAATGTGCCATGGGACCCCATCTCAGCTTTTCCAAGCGTTCCATGATTGCATGTGGTCGGTGTAGGAGTGCTTTATTGTGCAGAAAATGTTGCTACCAAGTGACGCTTAATTATTTGATAGATTTCACTTGCCTTTACATCCTCTGATGGCAGTAACGGTAGTTTAACACGTAGGCTTAACGGTAATTTACTCAATATATTTTTGCAACTTGCCAATCTTAATTCATATTAATTGGATTATTTCGCCAACATAATCGAAACTCGGGATGGAATGATTGTCATATCGAATCTTGGCAATCTGACATTGCGGTGATTTAAGAATATTTAGATTTATAACGCTGGTGCATGACACTGCCTCTGGTGACTCAAAACGGTCATGTGAACCAATGACATCCAACAAATACAAATTGGAAAAACACATCAATTGTTACACGCATTGAGCACTGCTCAATGCGGTGTATCATAAACCAAACGATAAAATCACCATTCCATTGCTAACGGAAACCCAGCGATCGTCGCATCTTCCGGCTGGCCACGGTTATCTCTCGGATGCGGCGGTACGGCACAGTGAGGCGGGCGCAGTGTTCACCGCGAGTGCCGCATGTCACCGGCGCCCGCAGCCCGCCGTTGACGTTGGCGAGGTCACGTCGCCTGGGTGAGCCTTGCCACGCCGCCCGCGAGAGGGCTTTAGCGAGGGACTCACCTGTACCGTCGCGCGGACGCTTGCGCATCTGGACACCCAGCGTGGAGTACGTCTGTTGTTGCTGCTGCGGCTTCTCGCTTTCCACGTCCGCCTGTGGTGCCAAGCGTGCGCACACAACAACAACAACAAGCCGCAATTTGCCAATAACTGCCGGTGACATCGCCACAGCCGTTCGCGCCAGGCTAGGCGTACCCTCGGACCACGTGAAGTGTCCGAGGCTCGCTGAAAGTCACTGGACAGGCTCAGGTGTTGTGGGTTAACTGTCTGAGATGACCAACATGCACACATTCATTCATTACTGTTATTTAAGGCCAGGAAAAGGCCCATTGGGCTGCACCAGTGGGCAGCAGAGGGTGGTGCAAAACGCCTTTTGTTGTACTATACACTACTTCTATGCTCCCATACCGATGTTCCCCACATTCACCAACCCAAACTGTTTTCATTGACGATTTTGAAACTCATTTTGGGCATCAAGGGGACTCTCCGTCTAGGTGTATTAGCTGCAATATGAGAGCTGTGGTGAGTATTTTTATGGAGCTGCGTCTTCACGCACCACCTATGGCCAAATGACCCAGAATGTACCCGATCTCGTCAAACATCGAAATCCTAGCCGAGTTGAGCCTGGATTGTGCTTGGATGGGTGACCCACCAAGTACAAATAGGTTATCATAGGTGGCTGAGGGGCTAGGTGGTGGGCAGGAGGGGGAAGTATGACAAAATACAGTTGTACTGTACTTCTATGCTCCCACATCTATCCCCCCGCACTGATGAGCGTGGTGAATTATGGTCAATCTATAATCCTGATTACTGATTGTAATGCATCTTGACTTAAAGCTTTCGTGACTGCAGGAATTCATATTCTTGGGTCTTTTGGTAAAGTACCTATCTACGTTACTTTACCGAAAGACCCAAGAATATGATTGTAATGCATATTGTGAAATATCAATGTAATTTTTATGTTGTTTTATTTACTACAATTTTTTACCAGGTACGGCCCATTGAGCTCTATAGCTCTTTTTTCAGAAGCGACCTGGCCACAGATGATAGCTAAGTGAAATGGCTTATCACGTGGAATTGTATAGCAGCCAAATGCTCTAAATGCATGTTTTTTCATGTGAAGGGAAAAATCGCAGACCCCGGATAAAAATCATGCGACCACGGAGAGAACGTGCAAACTCCAAATATAAAGACGCCAGGGTCGGGATCGAACCCACAACCTCGTATACCAGGCAAGGTAGTATTGTACCTTGATACACAGTATTGTATATGGAATGGTATTCTGATATTGCCAAATTTAAAATTATTAACACCGTGGCATGCAAGGGTTAGAATGTGATATGCCTTGGGGCTGCCAATGTAGGCAGCAGCTTGGTAATGGGAAATGAAATTGTTTGGTCATCATGTGAAAATGTAGAAATCTGGTCACAGTCACAGGTTATCCAATTCACGTTTGAGTTTTAGACGTCGTCCATTGTACATTTTCGAAAATTGTAAAATCTATAGGATATATGTACGAATATTTTACACGTAGGCTTTTGCAAACAATTTTATCCGTAACGTTTTTTGTTGTTTTAGATCGCATACATCGTTGGGAATCCACATGAATGAGCTGGTAATAAAGGCCCATTTGGGACGATTTTTAGGCCCAAGAATTGGTCTTGTACATACATAATGTGCATTATGTTTGTTGATTAACTGTGAATAACCCAACTAATACTAGATATCCATTGTAATTTATATCGACTACATTAACCCCCCTCTGGCCTTCACCTAATTGGCTCAAGTGGCGACATCACGTTTATCCCTAAGTTTAAGACAGGATTTATCCATAATTCTGGCTGTCGCCTAATAAGGCTGGTTGTAATTACCGGCGAAACGTCATACTCGAATTATAAATGTTGTGGGTTTATTCTCCAACACACCGGTGTGTTGAACTAGTAACGAATTGGCATGTTTGGTTACGTGACAAACCTTAAACATTGGCTCTGTCGAGTGGTGGCAAATTTAAAAACACATTTATAATTACGCAATTTAACCCCAAACAAACCTATAGCTATACGAGTGTTTTTGTAAGGACATACATCCTACTCATTAACAGAATAAAAATTCCAAATAAGCTGCACTTGACGGACTTTATCCAATTACAGGCAGTCGTTATCACCACGCTACTGTCATGCATTTAATCGGAGTAAATGACACCAAGTATAGTGGCTCTTAAATAGCAACAATGCCGTATTGTAAAACGTCGAGTTATTCAAGATTATAGTAATCCAAATGTGTAATCCAAATGTATTCAAAGTTATTTCTCCCACTGCTGCCAAACGTTCTCTGGATGTGTCCTGAATCTGATTCAAACACAACACTTTCACACCTCCTAACAAGCAAGGTTTAAATTCAGCTGGGTCCATCTGGGTTTTCTGGCGACTGCTAAAATATTTACAGACCCAGCCAAACCACATCCAGTATACCTCTAGTTAAGGATGCTCAAGCACTCCAATCTACCAGCAACCTACAGAATATATCTGCACTTGGCACACTAAATCCAGTATACGTGTCAGTCTGGCGGTAGTTACTCAAGAAAAGATCCTGCTTTGTTACCTCTTCCTCTGGCTCTGGGTCCGAGTCAGTTTCCTGAAGTCCGTGTCGGCAGGGGTTTGGGTGACGGGGACAGGGTGGGTGGAGTTGAGGAGCGAGGAATACACGGAGGAAAGCTCACTGTGCAGCAATCACCAGTTACAGAACCCCTACACACAGGCTTCGCCAACAAGGCCTCGAGGCAAATGAGATGATGGTGCGGGCTAATGGCTACACGGAAAAAAACGTATTCAATGTTTGCTTCCGGTAACCTGACGCTTACTTGCTCGGACGATCTCTCATCGTCAAATATTAACGATCGTTACAGTCTCGTCGTGCCCACCATTGTGACACAGGTTTCAGATGAGGGCGGTCTTTAGGTTGCGAGCTTCATATTGTGTACAGCACTGCACCACACATCTTTTCATTTATGAGTCTGAAATCAAACTGCAGGCCTCGGGATATGTTTAAGTGGCTCAGAGATCAGAACAACAAGCCTGCACCGCTGAATTCCAGGGCTTGAATCTAGGTTTCAGTCACCAGCGATTAAACCATATTTTCAATAATGGCACAAACCCATCATTGTTATATTGAAAACTAATTTGTTTAGAACTGCTTTTTGTCTTTAGTTTGTCCTTCCCCCGCACAGTTGGCTACCTACGGTGCGGAAGACGTTCTACATACGTTTAAAATCTGGGTTTCACTTAATTTGGCTAAACTCCAGCTCTCCGCAGGACAAATAAAAGGTGTGCCCCTAGTGTAGACAAAAAAATCTCGAGTGACATCGGAAGCAGTTCTGCGACGTCACTCTCTCACACAGGCTGCTGCTGCACCAATAGGTGTGGGAGCTCCAAGTGGACACTATACCAATTTGATGTAACACCAATGGCACAATTGTGAAAACCTACAATTTTAAGTGACAAAAAATATTCTTTGGTTCTTTCGGTAAAGTCACGTATAACGTAGCAATCTTTGAAATACGTAATCGACCAGGCTATGCGTTAATTGTGTGTTGACCGACTCTCTGTGTCGTTTTACATAACATTTAGATACTTTGCTAGGTTATTTAACTTAGTGTGTTCTTTCTCCCTCTAAGCCTGCGTACTTTACTACGCGTCTCTTCATACTCATTGACATGTACATTTTTTCTCTAACCCCTCCCTCTCTCTGCTTCCGCCCCCCCTCTGTCTATTTAAGGCCACCCCACAGAGACGATCACCCCTCTCTGTACCTGTGTTGCTCTCTCTATGTATCTTGGTGATATCTGTCTGCTTATATGTCTGTCTGTGGTTTTCTGGTTAGATTTTGTGTCGCTATTTCATTATACCTGATGATGATTGTTGTGTTGCAATCGAAACGTCGTATGCTATTATTTAATTTATCATTTTATCTTTATACGTGACTTTACCGAAAGAACCAAAGAATAATTCCTGCAGTCACGAAAGCTCCAAAATTAAGATTGACAAAAAATAATCGCTAAAATCATTTTTATTCTCAGAGCCAAGTGTTACGACGAACAACCATTTTTACAATGCAATGTTTTTTTCTTAAGCTCCATACATTGAACAGACGGACACGCACCTTCTTGTACGGTGGCAGCGTGATGTTGAGGTTGCACACGGCCGCCTGCGGGAGGCCCCGTGCCGTCTTGGCGTCCTTCATGAAGCAGAGGCGTCCGCAAGCCTCCTGGTTGCTGTCTCGTACCTGGTCGCGGGCAAGCATTCATTCAAGCAGCACTGACTCGTAACAACAACGACCAAGGTGTGTGCAGCCTTGTAGTCACTTGGTACCACCGCTGCTGCTGCCAGAAGAGCTTCCACAAGAGGGAGCTCGCATCAGAGTATTACTCGTATCACTTTGTACGTGCATATGCCATTCCGTAAGCTGATGGCTTGTAGCCAGGCTGGTGTGTGTTGGTGCACCTTGACCATGAAGGGCAGCCTGTTCTCGCGGAATGCGTAGAAGGAGAGGGCGTGCTGCTGCCCGGCCTTGGTGAGAGGGACCAGGTTGCCGAAGCACTCCACGTAGATGGGTTTACCCTCCAGCACCTACAAACAAAAAAACATTCATGCGTGCCGACACAGACGAAAGCGAATGTCGTTGGCCGTTCGGCGGTGATGTCACCGCGACGTTTGTGCCAGGCTGCGCACTGTGAAGTGCCGAAGATTTGCAGGAGGACATGGGGCTGGACCAAATTATGAGTTGACCGACTGAGATGATAGGAAGATGCACTGCCTTTACACCCCGCTGCACAAACTTCGAGTGCTCTGCACATTGTTGGGAATATCGCTCCACCGACAGCAAACGCGTCTGGAGGGCGATTGTCCCCAACTTACCAGTAGCGTCCTTTGTGAGCCTCCTCCACAGAAATTGATCTTGACACCACAGGTACCAATCATTGGGAAAGTCCACTGCACTCCAAATCCTTCCATAGCACATCAGCCCATCTCTTCTCTATCCTGTGCTGTGCTCAAGTCGCTGCTGATAACCAGTCAGACAGGAGCTCCCTTGGCATGCACGCTGCCAATGCAACCTTCCCTGCTCGAGAATCTCAGATAGGTCGACATTCAGATCTTTCAAGAATTTGTGAGCTCATCTTCTTGGTTCTTTCGCTAAAGTCACGTAGAAGGGAAATATTTAAAGAATAAAAATAAAACATACTAAAATAATTGTGGCCAAAACGTCGTGAGAATTATTTAATTATGTTTTTTTTTTCCCTTTTTTTTTCCTTTTTCCTTCTACGTGACTTTACCGAAAGAACCAAGAAGATGAATCCCTGCAGTCACGAAAGCTTTAAATCGAACATTTGTGAGCTCCTTGCTTAATCCATCCTGGTTAAACCCAGGATTGACCGTGGACAGGACAGCCTGAATATTTTTGGCTGCCACAGGTTTTCCCATTAAAAAAAGAGGTTCCACGTTTCGCAAACAAAGGGAAGGAAAGCCGTGATTATGGCCAAGGAAGACCTGGAGCTTCGTGTGGAGCGACAGGCCAGTGTTCAGCAGTGTTACGTGCTACGGTGGCGAGATGTTAACTACCTCGCCTGATGTACAGGAGGTCGTGGATTCGATCTCGACCCTGACACCTGTATATTGGAGTTTGCGTGTCTCTCTCCCCATGGTGGTGTGGAGTTTTCTCCGCGCCCTCCGGATTTTCGCTCCACATTTAAAAACATGCCTTTAGAAGTATTTGGCTGCTATAAATTTCCAAATGATAAGCCACTTCGTTGACCTATCATTTGTGGCCAGGTCACTTTTGAAAGTAGCTACCAAGCTCAGTGGGCCTTAACCTGGTAAAATAAAAAAATAGTTTATACCATTGGAACCTCATTTGCCAGTAAAATATATGATAATTAGGTTTTTTACCCTTCTATCTGGCGACAAAACTGACACCTTTTTTTACAAGGAGTCATGTCAGTTTTGTCGCCAGATAGAAGGGTAAAAAAACAATTATCAAATAGGTTATAGTTAATTCTTTAATAGTTTTACGCACCTCGACATCGCGGCTGCGCGCCATCTCGCTGAAGTTCTCCTGTTGCTCCAGAGTCTTGTCCACTTTGTCGTCCGTCATGCAGAAGCAGCGCAGCCGCGCCTCCACAGGGTCGTGCGTCTTGGCGAACACCACAAACTTGGCCATGTACGGCACGCACACGAGCTCGCGGTACATCTGCGTCGTGAAGTTCACCGCCTCGTGCGTCTGCCGGCAGTCGATGAGCCAGAACCTGTCGGACACACGTGCACAGTCATGCGCACGCGTGCACGCGCGCACGTACACATTCGCGTGTGGTCACGTGTACAATTAAAACATGCACACAAGACAAAGATCCTCCATACAGCCTTAATACACTGTTGGGACAAGTGCTGTTAGCTGGTAGCACCTATGAAGGCTGCCACGGCACACCAGGGTGTGGGTGACCAGTACCACACCTGACTGCATTTATCTCCCTAGTGGTGATGTTTACACATCAGCTACTCATTTGAGGCCGAGTTGACCTAGGAGGAGAGGCCCAGGACCGGTTCAGATAATCGTCACTGGTGTTGGCCGTGAGCAGGAATCGAACTTGGGTCACCAGGTTCGTAGCGCAGCGCAGCGCAGCGCTAACCGCTCCACAACATGCACACACATCCAATGACAACTCCAGAAGGGACCAAGTCAGTCGGTGCCTCTCCTGGTTCAGTCTGAGCAACTTACCTGGCAGAAACGTTGGTGGTGAAGGAGACGCACTGCTTGGTGAAGGTGAGCGGCGTGGTCCCTGTGATGTCTTCCCACTGCGCGGGCGCCGTGCCACCTGTGAGCGTCAGCAATGTCGGCATTATCTCCACGACGAGTTGTGCAAGTTCATAGAAAGTATTTAAGGATGCCCGTGCATCGCCCTGTTTAGACAATGGTGATGATATTTTTAATCCTGATTTGTTGACAAGGGGAACTGCTTTTTGTGTGAAGTTTGTTATCCTTCACCCGTACCTTCGATTTAGCACGGTTGGCTACGTACGGTTTAAAGGAGGTTCAACATACCAATTATGAAAGTCTTAAAACACAGATGTGAAGATGATGACTTTATAATGATGGGTATGGTAATATTGATGATAATATTGATAAAAATGGCAATGATAACATTGATAGCTGTTATGATATTGATAACGAAAGGCAATGATGGTAACATCGATTACAAGGATATTGATATTGACAAGCATGGTGATATTCATTTTAACGATAATGACGTTGATCATCATTGGTACCTCAACTTCAAGGACAGTGCATACATTATCAGAGTTATGTTTTTTGTTTGCATTATGACTGCAGGTATTGTGGTCTATGCAAACATGACTCCTCGTAAAAAAGGTGTCAGTTTTGTTGCCAGATAAAAGGGTAAAAAATCAATTATTATATTTTTTACTAGCAAATGAGGTACCAATGGTGTAAATGCTTACCCCGAGCTCTCATTCTCTGATGGTGCATTGTCTTTGAGTTGTGCGCCTTTTGGCGTCATCTGGTCCAACCCATGTGAGACTAGGCTCTAAGGAAAGCTGTCTCGGGTGTGGACCAATCAACTTCAAGGACAGTGCATACATTATCAGAGCTGTGTTTTTTGTTTGCATTATGACTGCAGGTATTGTGGTCTATGCAAACATGACTCCTCGTAAAAAAGGTGTCAGTTTTGTTACCAGATAGAAGGGTAAAAAAACAATTATCGACGTTGATCATGTTGGTAATGATGACGTTAATTATAACTGACGATACTGATTACGATGGCGATGATGGCGGCGATGAGCAGGATGACGACGATTACAGCAAAGCATGTCGAGAGCACCCGTCGCGCACCTGTGATGCTGCACAAGAGGCGCAGCGTGGGCATCTCTCCTCCCGCGGTGCCCAAGCCGTCGCCGGCGGAGCGTGGCACGGGGATCGTCATGGTGATGGGCTTGTGGAACTTGCGTCGGCGCGGCTCCAGCGTCACGATGGGGCTGAACGTCGCCTTGTTCCCCAGCACCTTCTGGACCAGCGCCTCGGGGATCGGCTGCGACTGCACGCGCACAAGCGAGCGAAGAGCGCGTGAGGACCCGAGAAGGCGAAGCTAAGTGTAAAGGTGCCGCCCTGCAGCGATTCGCTAATGCTACTGCTGGCGTATGGACCTCGCCTAAAGAGATGGAGGCCCTGTCGATTGTATTTGGCCTACTCCGCCACGCTGGCCAGCTGTCTTGGACGAGTTGGGAATGCTCACATTTCACCACGCGCAACCTGCCGATCGACTAACGATGATCTACCCCGAAATTGTATTCGACTGTCCCACTAACAGACAGAAGAAGATGACCGTTGGATACTCTTTGGTTCTTTCCGGAAAGTCACGTAGGTGAAAAAAAAGAAGTGATTTTCATTTTTATTTTATTTGTATTATTCTTTTTATTTTCACCTACGTGACTTTCCCGAAAGAACCAAAGAGTATGGATCCTTGCAGTTAAGAAAACTTCAAATCTAGAATGACCGTTGGCTTGCAAGTCCAAAGTGCTAACCGTTACACTATAGCAGCATGCGTGCATGTACGTTGAACTTCTTTTGCACTGTATGTAGCCAACCACGCTAAACGAAGGTGCATAATCAAGCTCAGTGGTGCCGTGTAAAGTACAGCGAGCCTCGACCTAATAAGGGCGCACTCCAAGTAAAAAAAATTAAACGTTTCAGAGCCGACTTGTTATCTGCGTCTCCACTTTACGTAGACCCAGCAACATTGGGGGTAGTCCTGGACTCGATAGGGCGACGAGGTGACAACCCACAGAGCGAGAGTGCGGAGAGCGTGGACCAGCGTTCTTTACGGAAGCAACTCCGACTGATGCTCCTGCTGTTGTGGAGTGACTCATGCAGCCAGCTATGGCTGCAGGGTTTTTGGTAGTACATGTTGTTTATGTCATTTATTGTGAAAATTCCGTCACAGTTCTAATGATCACTGTTTCATTGCTTTATTTTGGTGATTTCGAAAAGTTTACTGGTTTGGCCATGTTTGTTTGTTGTAGTACGGTGTAAGACTGATGGCCTTAATCTAAGTTGTCTTGTGGTTGTTGTTGTTGTTTGACTTGCATCCCACTGGAATTTTTGCACACAGCGTTGGTGTACGCTGCTTTTTCTGCAATATTTTTCTGTCTTTTCTTGGATTTTCTGTTTGCACTTAGTCACATATTCACTTTAAGATGTTTTCTTGTTCATGTTTTTGTTTGTTGTTTGTTGCGGTTGCACCCGATTCAATCAATGAACTTGAACTCGACCTGCGACCTCTCACCTGCAGGCCGACCTTGATGCGCTTGGTGAGGGAGCCCTCGGGGAAGACGGCCTGCACCTGGGGCGTGATGGTGCTGCTCAGGACGCCGCCCTCGGGCCCCACGAGGCTACTCTCCTGACGCACGCGCGACACCACCGCAAAGTACTGCGGGAAGTCGCGCGTCACGATGCGGCAGATGCGCTTGCGCTCCAGCTCGTCGGCCGTGTCCAGCTCTGAGTGGAGCATGGGGAGACCGGGCGTGAGGACTGTTTTAAACAAATATATATATATTTTTTTAAACCAAGTACGGGCCACTGAGCTATATCGCTCCTTTGTCAGAAGTGACCTGGCTCTCCCAAATGATAGCTCAACGAAGTGGCTTATCGTGTGGAAATGTATAGCAGCCAGATAATCTAATCGCGTGATGTTGATTGTAAATGTGAAGGAAAAATGGAAGGAACCTCGAGAAAAATTCACTTAGATTACAAAAATTCATACTCTTAGTTTTTTCGGTAAAGTCACGTAGGTAAAAAATAAATTTACCTACGTGACTTTACCGAAAAAACTAAGAGTATGAATCCTTGCAGTCACGAAAGCTTCAAATCTAGAAATAGATTACAAAGACTACAATACACACGCATCTGTATACAGCCAGAGACACCTACAAAAACTAACACCGCCCCTATAGCCATACAGACTGTTGGAGGCAAGTGCTGTTAGCGAGCACCTACGAAGGCTGGCCAGCACCACACCCGACCGCCTTTGTCTCCCCAGTGGCGACGTTTACACATCACACCAGGTATTCGTTCGAGGCCGAGTAGACCTTGGGGAGGCACACGGCGCGTTAAGATAATCGTCACCGACGCAGGTTGAGTGCAATTCACGCAGGGTTCGCCAGGTTCCTAGTGCAGCGCGCTAACCACGCTCGCTACCGCTGCCCGCACGCGAGTGCGCACCCTCGTCCATGCCGTTGATGATCTGGTTGAGCTCCTCCTCGGAGCACTCTGACTGGTGCTCGCGCCACGTCTCTCCGTTCTCGCTGCGCAGCACCACCAGCTCGCGCTCCTTCCCACGCAGCGATGCAAAGTGAGGGATCTCCACGATCACCGGTCTGGGGAATCGGTAAGGGAACGGGGAGGGGGTTGCAGAGCAGCAGCGGTTATGGAGAGGAATGGGTGAGTAGAAGCCAAATCCCTACCCGGATGCAGCCCAACCAGATTTACTGTAATAATACAAATCCATAATCGCATCTACTTCTGTCAACAATCTACTTTCTGTACTGCTTGTTTTTAAAGACACACATTAGTTAACATGCAGCAGCAGCATCGCGACCAGAACGTACAACTCCCCAGAAAATGTAAACATAAAAAAACGCTTTCTTTACTTCATGTTTATTTTAATTACCAAGTATATTTTTTAGAGTAGCTGGCCTGGGAATACCTGGTGGGTCTCTCCGGTAAATTTAAACTCGTTTATTGGCACTTGCCTAATAATATCCCAGTCAAGACAACTAATGCACGTATAGTCCCCCCCCCTCGCCGCCCAGTAATGAGAGCTACTCCTCTCCTTCCCACGACATGTCCCTTTGTATATCTCGCAGGTGATGACTTCTACTAGCAACACCGATGAGGGAAGGGGATGTGGGAGAAAGGATGACGTATGAATGTTGAACTTCTTTCGCAACCGTACGTAGTCAACGTGTTAATCAGAGGCGCGGGGAAAGACAAACTAAACACAAAAAGCAGTTCTAAAGAAATTCGTTTTCAATCTAGACTTAAAAGTGCATAGCTCCAGTGCCTTCCTAACATCTGAAGAGCGTTCCAAACGATCGCAGAAGCGCATGTGAATCCGATAGCTAGCCAAAACCGCTGCTGCAAGGATGACCCGAGTTCGCGTGATGGTTTACGCTCCTTGGCGAGACCAGCGAGGTATCGTGTTGTGATGTTCGCGGGAGGAGGGGGGGTCAGTGGGAACGGGTTTCCTACCCGAGAAAGGTGGTGCCGGGTGGGCCCAGTTGCAGGATTCGACTAACGAGGCTCTCCCCGTCATTGAGCGGGGGAGGGGTGTTAGGCAAGTGCAGTTTACTGAGCACAGCCCAAGTGGCCCCCCCCCCGCCGCACGCGTGCAGTGGGAGACAAAAAGAAGACGGCGGGGTAGGTGGACACAGGGAGAGAGGAGGGAAAGAGGGGGGCAGAGAGAGGGCGAGAACAAAGGGTGGAGGAGAGGCGTTGAAGGGGAAAGAGGCAAGGGTCATAGGAAAGGAGGTAGGAGGCAGACGACGAGTGGGGTATAGGCAGAGAAAGGGGGAGATGTTGGGAAGGTAGAGGAATGGTATAGATGGGTGGGGAGTAGAGATTAAAACATAGCGGGGAGGGAGACAGAAATGGATGGAAGACGAAGGGCAGGGGACGGGGGAGAAGATGAGATGGAGAGAGATCAGCAAGGATGGGGAGAAGGAAGGAAATGCAAAGTTACAGGGTGTGACATCGATGGAGAGGTCGATTGGGAAGGAATTGTATAGGTGAGGGTAGAGGGAAGACGAAAGTGGGAGAGAAAATAGTAGAGGTGGGTGGAGAAGAAAGTAGAGATTCAAACACAGGTGGAGGGAGAAGGACAGGCACGTGGGGAATAAAAATAAAAAGAGACACCGTGATCCAACATCCGTTAGTTAGCACATGACACAGGAGAGAAATGTTAGAAAGGTTCACGCGAAAAGCATGACTCGCGTTGAACTTTGCTCTAAAGCCGCGGAAGCGTTTGAAAGCGTTGAGTAGCGAAATGCGGAAATTAGACAGGCAGCAGGCTCTATGTGAAAATTGTTTAGGATGGCCAAGAAGCAATTTTACCAGATCTGAGTTATTAAAACCTCCACCAATGGATAAAATACAAATTAATAATTTTTGAAGTATCTACATTTAGTGGGTACACAGGCAAACTAAATCAGAGTTTAATAACAAATAAGTATTCAATAATCGGCAGCCTGAAAAATATATAGTTTCAACGTTAATTTCCAGCCACGTAAAACAAGACCTGACCCTCTTTAAGACACAACAAACCCATCTATAATCTCAGCATCCCACAATGCACCACGGTGGCGAGGTGTTAAATGCCTCGCCTGGTATACAGGAGGTTGTGGTTTCGATCCTGACTGACGCCTGTGTATTTGGAGTTTGCGTGTCTCTGTCCCGTGGTCGTGTGTGTTTTTCTCGGGGTCCTCTGGTTTTTCTCTCCACATTTAGAATCAACGTGTGCTGAGATTATTTGGCTGCTATATACTCTTAGGTTTTTTCGGTAAAGTCGCGTAGGAGAAAATAAATAAATAAAAACGAAATAATGAAATAAAGATTAGATTTTTGCCTGCTACTATAAATGTCCACATGATGATAAACCACTTCGTTGAGCTTTTATTTGTGGCCAGGCTGCTACTGTGGGCATTAACCTGGTAAAATAGAAAGTTTAGTTTAGTCATGCAAACAAAGCTCATATCTGGCACCGAGTGGCGTCACTCACCCGAGGAACTGCCCTCCAGACGGGCCGACCTCGACCACGCGGCTCGCCAGGCCCTCGCCCTCCAGCACGGGCGGCAGCGCGGCCAGCCGGTGGCGCTTGACGAGACGGCAGGTGACGCGCGTGGGAGCCATGCACTTGCGCGGCGGGATGACGATGCGAAGGCCGTGGTGGCGGCAGCCGCGCATCGACCCTCCTCGCGCGTCCACCATGAAGCTCACCAAGAAGCTGCAGGCCGGTCGCGTTTGCGTCATCGTCGTTATCATCGTTGCATTCACAGCTTGTTTTAGACTTGACATGAGGTGCGATATCTATAACTGACGATATTTTATCCACCGCTGGATGAAGGCTTCACGAAGTCGTCGCTATTTTTCATGGCATGGTGATGCAATGATTCATCAAGCTGCGGGCCGGTCGCGTTTGCGTCATCGTTATCATCGTTGTATTCACAGCTTGTTTTAGACTTGCCATGAGGTGCGATATCTATAAATGACGCTATTTTATCCACCGCTGGATGAAGGCTTCACTAAGCCGTAGCTATATTTCATGGCATGGTGATGCAATGATTCATCTAGCTCTTGCACGCAAGCCGGATTTCATCATACACGCTCTGTGATCGATGTCTTCTTGGGCACGTTGCCTCCTTTGGCTGCCACTCGGTAGTTAAGTCTCTCCCACCCGATATCATCCCTTCTAGCTTAGAATAGAACCCGGTCTCTCCATCGTTTTCCCAAGCATTCATTTGCGCGTGCTTCTTTATGTAATTCCAGATTTTGTTTGACTTTCTTTGTCAATGGCTACATTTCTGATCCATGTCAAAGCAGGTGATATACACGGATTTAAGACGTTCTTCCCAAGGTGCCCCAAACCCATTATTATTCACCTGCCATTCTATTTATTAATTAAATTAATTATGGAACTCCTTGCTACTCTTGTCGTGTACCTCTGATAGATATCTTCTACCGTTTGATTCCTCAACACAGGTAACATTTATGGCGTGCGACATCTTCACTGGCACCGGGCAACTCCCCTTCATCAACATGCACTGCTCAGCGTGTTGCAGTACAGTGAAGAAATCGCCCAAGCCAACACGGCAGTAGGGCGGGAGGCCCTGCATCATTATGATTATGATACGTGTGGGCGCGTGCGTGTGGTATGCGTTGGGCTCCGAGGAACAACGTGACCCACCCGGAGTGGATGGGGCTGGACGACAGCGCCACGTTGTCCAGGATTTCGATGGGTGCCCAACTGGTGGGCATCCCTCCCACGCCTTTTTCCTCCTCCTCCTCCTCCTTGGGTGCGGCCAGCTAGACGAAGCGGCACAGCGCATGTCCCGAATCGGCGAGGCCGCTCGACCCGACCTCCCGCTCGCGTCACGGTGCGGCGACACCGTTCGTCTCCGCAAACCACTCCCCCCCCCCCACCCCCCAACGCTGTCCATCCCGCTCCCCCGCACGCTCCACCGCACGCTCCACCGCACGCTCCCCCGCACACTCCACTGCACGCTCCTCACCTGGGTGATGGTGGCGGCTGCGGTGAACTCTTCGATGAGCGTGGCCTCGCGCGAGTAGGGGCCCCGTCCGAGCGAGTACGACCTGTCGGAACTGAACGAGCGGAGGCTGAGCGGTTTGTATTTTTGTGCGTGTGACCGCCCATCCACCGACACCGGCCGGGAGGAAAAAATAAATTAAACCCATAAAGCAAGTGAGCGTTGGTCACCATTGTGGAGATGGATGGAGCGGATTGCAGGAGTGGAGGAGCAAAGGGTTTTTTTTTGTATCCATGGGTCAGGGTAGGGAAATGGAGACATGGGATGGAGATGAGAGGAGATGTTGTCATGGTAACCGGGATGAGGATGGAGGGTGCAGGAAGGACCAGGAGGTTTCCGTGGTGGGCCGGGGCGAGGGATGTGAGGACAGGGGTCGTTTCCACAGCAACCGGGTGCACGGAGGAAGAAGCGGGAATGTTGGCGTTTCCATGGAAACCAAGCAGGTGGGGCGGCACCGGCAAGACGATGGAACGAGCACGGTCACTGGGGGATGGATAAACAAAAACAAACAAACAAACAAAAAATGATAGCGTTAGCAAAAAAAATGGGCATGGCAAATGGCACAAACAACATTGCCGCCTCTCAACAAAACTCGACAAAATGAAATCAAGGCATGGCACGTCATGTCGAGGGGAGGCCGGGGCAAGCGGTAGGGGAAGCTGTGGTATGGCTGGTGCGGTGCAGGAGGAGGAGCGAGCAGAATGGTGCAGCGAGCGCTGGCTTACCTGGTGATGGTGCTGCATGAGGCAAGGGAATGGAAAACGTAGGAGATAAATGGCGCACGTGAACAGAGGGCTTTGCAGCGTGAGAGTGAATTTTCCGCTCATTGATTTTGGCGCAAATTGTTTTCTGGGAAAGCTGTTACCGGGGCTGGCCACGAACAAAAGCGCAAAGTGCCGTCTCAGACGCTGTAACGTTCTTTTCACAGATGCTTCAACTGCCTGGCTGCAGAATAAATGCTTACACAGCCTCCATCGGGGGGGCGGAGGGGGTCTCTTAGGTTCGTTCGCATGCACTGCCCAGTGGGGTCAAGTATGGCCAAACATCACCCATGGCATCACAGCAGTGGGGAAGGCCTTCATCCAGCACTGGATTTCTTGTTAGCCTCACTGCGGTGAGCTATTATTGCCTACAATGGCCAATCGCGGGGAGCCACAATTATCGTCATAAATTACTTTTAGATATTTAAGTTACAGATACAAAAGCGCTTTGGTGATGCCCGCTCCTTTCTTATTGTTTTGACCTTGCGCATGCCTTATTTTACTCGCGGCAATGTGGAGGGCAGCTAATTTACGTCACAGGCCCCAATGTGATTGGCCACGCAGTCAGGATGACTGGCGCAACGTGGTTCTGGTCACATGACAGCGACAATAGAAATAATTAGCGGTGGTGGCTGCATTGTATGCGTCGGCGGTAGGAGTGAGTGATGATCGATAATTTTATTAATTAATATACTTCACCTGGACAATCCCTTAAGATGCAACATCTCGCCGATTGACACTCGCTGCAGCAAGCGCGTAACAACGTGTACAAACATTTTAAATCGACAGGTGAAATAATAGTGGCAATAGCAGTGAAAGTACGACAAGACATCAAGTGCAGCCTGAAAGACAATTGTGCAATGCTCACAAGCAACGCTGAAACAGAAGTCTCGTACGGTGTATGGGGACGGCGGTGACGTTGGCGGAGTTTGTAAGCAGCGAGAGGGGTGGCAGCCGTACCTTCCGGAGCGTGTGGGCCAGTTGCCGAAGCCCATGCTGTAGCCCGTGCTGCCCTCCAAGAAGTGGCTCGAAGGCAGGGAATCGTCTCCCAGCTCGCGCAAGTCCTCGGCCCTCAGGTACTCCATGCCATCGCCCGTCATCGTGTCCTCACCTAGCAACCAGGGAGACGCAGAAACACGATTGCCGCGGCAAAACCATCATTATCGCCGAGGCAATAACGTCGCCACGGCAACATTGTCAGTGCAACGCCACCACTGCCGGGGCGACAGTCACCGTTGCCAGGGCAAAAGTACCCTCACCATAGCAACGTTATACCTTGATGGCAACATCAACATTGCCATGGAAAACACCACCATTGCCATGGCAACATCACCACCTCGACAGCAACGTCATGGCCATGGCAACACCATCACCACGTAGAATACGGGTTTTCAGTGCAAGATGTTTCAATGTCAGAATGCAACAGCGCCAAATCTAATGATGTTAAATTTATGGTATGATGCCTGCAGCTGTGTGCACTAGCAAGTCTCTAACAATGGATCGGAGCCAGTTTGGTTGGTCTGGTGGGCTGGAAGCAAAGAAGTATGGCATGGAGTGCTCCCATCCTCACGTGAGGATATGAGGATGGGAGCGGGGAGGGGGGGGGGTGATTCATGAATTGCTGAAAAGCTCATTATGTACGATTGTGACGATGTTGTATAATCATGAGCAGCTGATTTCACTGCTGAGGATTTTGAGGATGTCCTGACGATTTTCTGTTGGACGCTCTGCTTTGTCGTTTTAGTGATGGTTAGTTGATCACTGCTTGTTGTTCTCGCATCCCCTCCGCCAAGCAAGTTCGTGAAGCATTGGCCCCGAGAGAAGCACAACCGGCTCACGCCGCGATAGACCAGGGCAATTTTATGGCAATTGTTAATCATTGCCGGCAACTGTCAAACAGTGTGCAACTACGGCAACTTCGTGTGGAAACCGTTTAAAGAACACGGATTCTTCAGATATAATATTCCGGTGGGACATGCAGTTAAATGAACGAGTGCCATGTGTCGTCACGTCACGCGTACACGCGTTATGATGTCACACGGCATTGTGACATCATAAAGTCTGTAGGTGTGACCACTTATCTGTGCCCCTTATCTACATTTCTCTCCTTAATTTTGCTTTAAGCTCACTCATCTGTATCTCTTCACGTCTCGACGAGCCACGTCTCTTGGAGAGCCATCGCTAGGCCCGATTGCTCCGAGAGCCTTGCGGCCTGCAGACTGCAAATTTATGAATAACCAATGCAAAGTGTTTGTTGGAAAATGTGTCTGATGAACACCGATTGGTCACCAGAGCACACAAGTGGAGTAAGTCACATGACCTCTGTGTGTCATTTGATTGGAAGTTGCATATCCCAGTTGCCCACTCAAAGGGGCAGTGGACCAGATGTGTCCAGATTTGGGCGACGAAGTTTTTTTACGACAGAAAATGATGCTAAAACTATTAAACTAAACCTTAATTATTTTACCAGGTAAAACCCACTGAGCTATATAGCTCTTTTCTCAGAAGCGACCTGGCCATAAATGAAAGCTCAATAAAGTGGCTATTCACATGCAAATTTATAGCAGCCAAATACTCTAAACAGATGTTTCTAAATGTGGAGGTAAAAACCGGAGGGCCCGGAGAAAAATCCACGTAACCACGGGGGTAGAGACATAGACTCCATATATATAGCAGACGTCAGGATCGGGATCGAACCCACAACCTCCTGTATACTAGGCGAGGCAGTTAACATCTCGCCCCCTGTTGGGCGCAACTGTTGCCGGCAAACAATTTCCCTAAAGTTGCCCTTGTGCGTCGCGGTCTTAGGAGCAGCTCAGGAGCAGAGAGAGCCAAGAAAAACCTTTGCAAGCCGGAGCGAGAAACCGTGCAGCAGTGGTGGCGTAGCGCTCCAAACGTCAACTTCGCTTCCAGACGGCATCATACGACACAAAGAAAATCCCATTCAGGACTCTCGCTGAAATAACTGCGTCATCGACCATTTCATAACGGCCAGCGGTATTGTTATAAACATTACAGGAGGGCATACTCTTTGGTTCTTTCGGTAAAGTCACGCAGGTAGAAAAATAAAAAAAATAAAAATAATACATCACGACGTTTTGAATGCAACACAAGCGGTCGTCCTCAGGCGGAAAAAATAATAATCCAGCAGTGAAACTGCTGAACCAGCGAGAGAGCTGTTACAACAAGAGGTTATATATTTTGTTTTATTTTTCTACCCACGTGACTTTACCGAAAGAACCAAACAGGAGTGATAGCAATGTCACTCCATTCTTTTGTCACTCCATCACTTTAAATACCGCTCGTACACGGTAACTGCTGCAATTGTTGACACTGCCCTGCTAAACGTGTGTTCGGCGCATGGTAATGGCATTATTATTTCTTGTAATCATCAGAATCGGAATTTATATTCTGAATTGACAATCAAATTTAAAATGAAAATGGCCACATATGCTCGTGCAGGAAACCTACGAAAAGACGCGAGACTCTGTGAGGCCTTTCTGAGTAAATACCAACGGTATTGTTAGAAACATTATAGGAGTGATAGCAATGGCACTTCATTATTTTGCCGCACAGCCTGGGACACACGGCCTAGGCGCTCAACTACAATATCAGAGCTGTTCGTGTGTGTGGGTTGCGTCTTAAATTGAATTCACAGCCGACGCTCTGAGATCACCGCCAGGAAGGGTAGCCTTTCCCACGGAAATTATTGCTCAATAATAAAGCCCAGTGCCATTTTGGCCATAGCCTTCCAGACAATAAGCCAGCTGCTACCTTGCATGCGTTTCTGGAAAATGGCGAGTCCTAGTGTGGAATTTTGTGGCATTGTGAAACTGAGAGTTATGAGACGCCGCAGGTTACAACACCACTGCTGAAGAGAGAGAGAGAAAGAGAGACCCCGCGCCAAACCCCACAACAACCAAGTACCTTCTTCCGGCTCTGAAATATACTCCCCATCACTGACCCTCTCTGGCACAGAGATTTTACGCTCTAAACAGCAACAAGAACAGGACGTCACCACCACAAATGAATGACATTGTTTAAATAATAATAATCAAGAATATGACTTACAAAAAAATTATCGTTGAAAACTGAAGCAAATCAAGTTTCACGTTCACTCAAAAGGCATCAAATAAAAATGAGTGCAACAAAATTCATGTGAACTGAAAAGAACGCGGCTGTACGTGTGTGTGTGTGTGCGCACACTTATGGATCAGTCGTAGTGCGTGAATGCGGTACCTTCATCGTCGGACACCTCCAGGACTTCTGTCATCGTCTCTGGCACGTTCAGTTTGTGTTTCTCTGTGATTGTCTATACGCACACATACACAGACGCACACACACAGACACACGCACACAAACACGCACATACGTACACACACAGATACACAGATATAAATACAGACGCACACACACATACACAGACGCACACACACAAACACAAAGACGCACACACACAGACGCACGCACGCACACAGACACGCACACAGACACGCACACACACAGATACACAGATATACACACAGACGCACACACACACAGACGCACGCACACAGACGCACGCACACAGACACGCACATACGTACACACACAGATACACAGATATACACACAGACGCACACACACGCACACAGACACGTACACAGACACGCACAGATACACAGATATACACACAGATGCATACATACACAGGGGAGGAATGCACGACACACGAAGTGTTAAACGTTAAACCCTCAGCATAAGAAAGAGTAATTATACGACCTGATTATGTCTTTCTTGCATGCTACATTTGATTACATCACTGTATGAATGTAGCAGGCCGGCTGAGCCTTCAACTGTGGTGGGAGGGGGGGGAGGGTACTCAGTCCACCTGCTAAATTCCAGCTCCCCCCCCTCCACCCCCACCACCCCCACTTTCCCTCCCCGTGACGCCGCAGGGGCAGGGCACACGCAATCGCCCCGACTGGAGAGGATGCTCACAGTTGTGGAGGTGATGGTCTCCTCTGTCACGACTTTGAGGGTGTCCACCACCGAGATGTAGCCCAGGCGACGGGCGATGGCCAGGGCTGTGTTCCCGTTCTGGGCAGCGAAGGGGGAAAAATCGGAACGGACGACGCACGACTCCGTCACATTATGTTCGTGTCGACGTTCGCGATTCGCTGTGTTGCGGTCGTGCCGCTGGCGTCACGCGGCAGGACGGAGGCGATTTCGAACCAGCGCATCACCTTGCATCACCACTTGTGCGTTTGTGCGGTATTACGCTGTTTATCCACGTAACAATGTATTGATGCCTGTATATTTGGAGTTTGCATGTCTCTCTCCCTGTGGTCACGTGGATTTTTCTCCGGGACCTCCGGTTTTTCCGTCCACATTTATCAACACGCATTTAGAGTATTTGGCTGCTATCAATTTCCATGTGATAAGCCACTTCGTTGGAGCTATCATTTGTGGCCAGGTCATTTCTTAAAAAGAGCTATGTAGCTCAGTGGGCCTTCCCTAGGAAAACAAAAATTAGAAAAAAATACCGAACTACTGCCAGCCACCAGGAGGCGCTACCCACTGCGACCAAAGGCAAATCCAGCACCACGGACAGCGCCCATTTCGCAACCACCCCCAGCCAGTGAGATGAATGCACAATTATTGTGCGTCAACTCCAAATATCGACGTATGTTATTTATTTAAATAGATGACAGCGCATTAAGATCGGCTGCCAGATTAAGGTAACAATCACAGCAAAAATAGTCCCTGCTATTTGTAGGTTAACATATTCTTGGGGGTAGATTTAAAATGCAGTGTTGCAGTGCACGATGATGTATGGGGGGAAGGCTTAAGGGAGGGATTTTTGAGATTCACCATCAGTTTTACAACTCAAGCAAATATTGTTTGCAGATAGTATTTAACACATGAGATGTTGAACTACGTTCAGCAATATGTCCACGAGGTCTGCTCGCCACGCAAGGGATTCAGGAGAGAGTTCATGCCGTTCAGCTTTGAACTATGACATTGTTGCACGGAGGTTTACTGATTTCAATTACATTTCATAGCCCTGCACACGTACCTTGCAGCAGATGGAGCACTTCCAGCAATTCCTTTCAAGAAATAGTTTGGCACATGTCGCGGGCTTGGGACCTTCGACCCCGTGCTAATGGGCTTTGCGTCATGCTTGCCGGCTGACCTTTGAGCCAAACCCGACTGACCAACGCGACAGAGTGGCCAGGAAGCGATGTAAACACACGTTCAATCACGACGTTGCTCATGAGTCATGGGCGATCCGTCGAGCTTAAATGAGGGCATGATTGATAACCCATGCCTCTAAAGCGGTAATAAGCACAGACTATACATGCCCAAGGTTCTTAGGTCACTGTAATGCTATTATAATGCACATTTAGCCCACTATGCAGATTAATTTGAAAATTGGGTGATACAATTTACTCCGGCACAAACAACAATTTTGACATATCCGTTTCTTTGATGTTTGCTGACGGTGCCATTGGTGAATAAAGAACAGGCCAAAACAATACTTTCCACATTCACAATTAGCATCGCAATGTAACAATAAAAAATTACAGCCCATTGTCAAGCCATTGTTGGATGAAGGTCTTCCTATGCTGTGCTGCTCATGCTTGTGCCTTCAGCCAAAACAAATCACACTGGACTTACCCAATCTGGTAGCATGCATGTGATGTCAGCCACAGCTAACATCAGTGGTCTCCCTACACGTACACTCGGCCCTAAATGAGTACCTGGTTGCTGTCTTTTTCACATCAACAAGAGGCAACCGGGCATGGTCCTTGGCTATTCCGCCTTCCTGTGCAACCTGTCTGCGCTTAATAGGTTCTAAATAACAATCAATGTGAAGGCTGCATGGGGGATCTTTGTCTGTGTGCGTGGGTGGGTGGGTGGGAGCATCGCCGCGTCACGCACCACGGTGACGTCATTGGGGCGCGCACCACACTTGAGCAGCAGATTTACGATGTGCGTGTGTCCCTGCTGTGCAGCTTGGTGCAGTGGGGTGTATCCATTCTGCAGCGTCGCCAGAGGGGGAGAGAACGGAAATTAAATACATGGATCTACAACCTCATTACACATTCCCTTGTTGACCGCTTAGTTCATTCAATCATTTGCTGCGAGGATTATTTTTATTTTTCTTATTCGCGACTGGGTGAGCAATGATTGACCCATCAGCAATTCAATTAATTATCCTCATTTCAGGAACCGATTTGATTCATTAATCAATTCTGTTTTGCGTTGTGGTGAACGGTGGTGTCTCCAGTATTCGGAGGGGTTAGGAGAACCCATTACGTACAGCATCGCTCACTGTCCAGAGGTTAGTTTTCTACCATTAAGTGATGCCCTCTGGCATTCATGTATGTACATAAAGACTAGAGGAATCTTTAAAAAAAGGTCAAGGTGCAGCCCTGCGATTGCTTGCTCACGCCACCGCTGGCAGAAGGGCCTCCACTAGGGGCAGGAGCTTTAGAGAGACCGTCTAGTAGAGGGTATTTGGCCTACTCTTCCACGCTGACGAGACATCTTGGAAGAGGTGGAAGTCCCCACAATTTAACCCACTGTACGTGACCTGCCTCATTAACTGTGGCGTCCCCATTTAGACTGCTTGGAGTACAAAAGCGGGAGGGATTTAAGAAGCTTACCCCATTATTAAAATTTAATTGCGACCTCTGTATTGCAAGTCCGAAGGTGCTCACCATTTCACCACGGCGTAAATCCAAAAGCTTTGACGAAAACATGCACGGTTCGATGCATCAATAACAATAATAACCGATGGATTGATGCGCTGTTCCACCGTTACTCATGACGCGTTTGATAAAAACCCACAAAACCATTCCTGGGTTTATGCGTCAGAGCCACTCCCGCGACAACACAGCCTGGCTCCCGCGTAGCGTCCAGCATACCGCACAGCCCACGCTCTCATTAAAGCAGCTTTGACCCACTTAATACTGAGCCAGCTTTAAGCGCGTCCCATCTGGGACTCGAACATAGGGCTTCGAAACTGCTGGCACTGTGGTGTGACATTGGCCTGGCTTCACAAAAGATACACAACCACCTTCCACAAATCGTGGGCATTTAAAAAATAAATTAGGTGGAACATGACAAGAATTTCGTGCTATACAGTTGACCGTGCACAGGTGTGTGTGCACGACCTTGAAAGCAGGTAGTCGCTAAGCGCAATGGCGCTAATTGTTGCAGGACACTCGGTGAAAACCATCGCGCACGCCATTGTGAGCTTTATCGCGGCAGCGCTTAAAGGTGCAACCCAAAGTATAAAGAGCTTCCGTCTTGTAAATACCGGGTAATGTAAGAAACTTTAGATTTGAAGCTTTCGTGACTGCAAGGATTCATACTCTTAGTTCTTTCGGTAAAGTCACGTAGGTAAAAAATGAAATTAAAATTAATAAAAATAAAACAATAAAAATCACGACGTTTCGGAGGCAACACAAGCTTCCGTCTTCAGGTGACAGTTTCACCTGAAGACGGAAGCTTGTGTTGCCTCCGAAACGTCGTGATTTTTATTGTTTTATTTTTATTAATTTGAATTTCATTTTTTTACCTACGTGACTTTACCGAAAGAACTAAGAGTAAGAAACTTTGTCCCTCGCGATTGAATCAGTAGTCACAGTTCAGGGTAACCAATCAAGCATTGGTGAATTTTTAACATCGTGGTAAATCATCGCCCCCGACTGGCACACTAACGGCCCGTTTGCGGGCCGTGTGCAAAAGTAGCTTGGTACCACACGGTAACAGCTCGCCACAAATGACAGCTCAACGAAGTGGCTTATCATTTTGAAAATTATGGAGGACACGGGAAAAAAAATCCACGTGACCACAGTCACAGGACTGTACAAATCCTGCGATGAACACGTCCATCACCTTGGTCTTGCTGTTCACATCTGCGCCGTGCTGAAGCAGGAAATTCACCATTTTGATGTTTCCATAGTGGCAGGCCACGATCAGGGGCGTGTAGCACAACTGCCAAGAGAGAGAATGGGGATTGGGGGGGGGGAGAATACAAATATATACACCACCGTGATCAGAAGCTAATGGGGGTCCGTAGTTCTTCACGTCAGTTTTATCAGATTGTTTTCGATGTGAGAATAATTGAGGCATCCCTATTCTACATTCCATTTCTATGTAAACAGTTTGCGAACGACTCTGATAATCTTTCCCCATCTGTTGGCTCCTCTTTACTTTAGCGATGTCCATGGTTATACCAGCTGGGCCAGGGATTCTCGCCTTTCCACACTGTGAAGGGCAGATTTACTTCAATGATGATGATTATTAAACAAAAGCGATCTTGGGAGTACGGTATTAAATTGACATGCATATCAAATACATGTTGACGTTTTTTATTTAATTTGTGGCTGAAGAGCAATTTTTTCTTATTTTCGCTTCACAATCGGGACACCATATATCGGTTTATTTCATCGCGTTAAATGGTATGTGAACTCTCAGCATGAGTGAAGACACTCAACTTTAAAGGCTCCATCGATTGAACAGCTTTGATGGAAAGGAGCCATTTCGTCATACGCAAGCCTCACATCTCAAGTTAAAAGGGAAGAGTCCAAGGGCCAGAACCGATGCTGGTACCCACTTAAAGTAGCACGTTTTTAGTTTCACCGAATTACGTGGTTTAATACGAGTGAATTACTCAATAACCCCACTCAATCCACATGGTTAGCACACATTTTTCTGTAATTCACCATGTATCTGGGCTCATGGACTAGCAGGGAAGTTGCTGCTGCAGAATTCATATTTTTATTTTACCAGGTAAGACCCACTAGCTATATAGGGCTTTTTCAGAACTACCTGGCCACAAATGACAGGTCGACAAAGTGGATTATCATGTGTAAATTTGTAGCAGCCAAATACTCTAAACGCATGTTTCTAAATGTGGAGCGAAAAACTGGGGGACCCAGAGAAAAATCTACGTGGACCACGGGGAGAACATGCAAACTGCAATTATACAGGCATCAGGGTCAGGATCAAACCCACGATCTCCTACTTACCAGGCGAGGTAGTACTATCTTGCTACTGTGGCACCATAACAAAACACAAATAAAATTCTGATATACAACGTCCAATGTAAATTTAAACTATTTGGTTAAAAATATATAGATATTTATTCACAAATCGAAGGGGTTGCTTTTCCGTAGAGCTTGGGTGCCGTTGGGACGCGATGCCTCACCTTGGTGGTGGCGTTGACGTGGGCCCCGTGTTTCACCAGGATCTCAGCCACATTCACTTTGTCCTCCTGAGCTGCGAGGTGCAGGGGAGAGAGGCCACTCTGCACACGCACACAGAACCGCAGGAGCACCCATGTCAAGCACCATGCTCACGTAGAGATCTCCTGGGGCCAGCGCGAACGACGCACTTGTTGCACGCGACGTTAATCAGCGCGCCGTGAGGACGCAGCGTAAATGCGTATCCGCTCGTTGCGTGCGACACTTCAGTGGGTCCGATCCAGGTTGGCTCAGTACGACCCCAGCGCGGCACAGTGGTACAACGGAAATGATGCACGAGATGACTGGCGTCAGATACACCACCTGCACTTACCAGTGTGCCAACTTGCTGTGTTTTAGCCGCCCGATGCTCGACTCATCGTTGTGAGCATCGGTCATCCACCCTTTTTTATTCTTGCTGGAGGCAGGTTGTCTCCCCATCTGCCCAGTTGTAGCAGCAACATTAACAACGACTGCCATTCATTACTAAGTGGCGTCACCACAGACATTGTGCCAGGCTAAGTGCGCATTGAGGCCACGTGAAGTCTTGAAAGCTCGCTGACAAGGGTCAAGGGACAGACCCAAGTGCCATAGGTTGACCGAACTCACCCTGGTGATGTGGTGCGAGCGCGCGCTCGCCTTGGCGATTCGGTGCAAGCGAGCGCATGCTCGCCTTGGCGATTCGGTGCGAGCGAGCTCATGCTCACCTTGGCGATTCGGTGTGAGCGAGCACATGCTCGCCTTGGCGATTCGGTGTGAGCGAGCACATGCTCGCCTTGGCGATTCGGTGCGAGCGAGCGCATGCTCACCTTGGCGATTCGGTGCGAGCGAGCGCATGCTCACCTTGGCGATTCGGTGCGAGCGAGCGCATGCTCACCTTGGCGATTCGGTGTGAGCGAGCGCATGCTCGCCTTGGCGATTCGGTGCGAGCGAACGCATGCTCGCCTTGGCGATTCGGTGCAAGCTAGCGCATGCTCACCTTGGCGATTCGGTGCGAGCGAGCGCATGCTCACCTTGGCGATTCGGTGTGAGCGAGCGCATGCTCACTTTGGCGATTCGGTGCGAGCGAGCGCATGCTCGCCTTGGCGATTTGGTGCGAGCGAGCGCATGCTCACCTTGGCGATTCGGTGCGAGCGAACGCATGCTCACCTTGGCGATTCGGTGCAAGCGAGCGCATGCTCACCTTGGCGATTCGGTGCGAGCGAGCGCATGCTCACCTTGGTGGCATGGTTGACGTCGGCGTACCGCGCCAGCAGCAGCGACGCGATATCGGCGTGGCCCTCCTGGGCCCCCAGGTGCAGCGGCGCCACTCCCTGCCGCGTGATGGCGTTGGTCTCGGCACCGTACTCCAGCAGCGTCGTCGCGATCTCCAGCTGGTCCTTCTTGGCGGCGATGTGCAGCGGCGTGTAGCCGTTCTGATCACGCAAGTGTGACGTGCAGACAGACGGGTGGACACGGCGAATGGGACTTGTGCAGTTTTTACCACCCGGTTATACAAGTGGCGCACCCACCTAAGATGTTGGTTCCCTGCCCCAACAGCAGGGGGAAGGGGTGAGTAGATAGGGATGCCATGGTGGCTATATGGTAACTACCTCGCCTGGTACACAGAAGATCGTGGGTTCAATCCCGATCCTGACGATGCCTGCATATTTGTAGTTTGCATGGTGGCAGGGATTTTTCTACGAGTCCTCCGGTTTTTCCCTCCAGATTTCGAATCAACAAGCGTTTGGATTATTTGGCTGCTATAAATGTCCACATGATATAAGCCACTTCGTTGAGCTATAATTTGTGGCCAGGTCGCTTCTAAAAAAAAGCTACATAACTCAGTGAGCCTTACCTGGTAAGATAAAAAATTTAAATAGTTTCGTTTTAGTTTAGATATGTGCATGGCCCAGAATTGTGCGAGTAATCGGGTACTTACCTTGGCTGTTGCGTGGGGAGAAGCCCCCTGGTCCAGCAGTAGAAGAGCCACTTTCTGATTGTCATAGTGTGAAGCCACGTGCAGTGGTGTCAGCCCATTCTGTGTTGGGTGGGAAAGACAACGAAGGACTTTTAAAGTGGATGCAGTGAAATAAGGGTAGAGGCACAGTGTGGCTGGCATGGACTACGGTGCAACTGGTTAAAGGGGCACCCCCCCTGTGTCTAATTTCCCCCCCTTTTCATAGTCTGGTACCCTGGGCCCTCCCCCCTCCTGCCCGCGAGCTCCGGTTCAGTTTCACCGCCCGCACACTCGACAGCGACTCGCTACGCCGCTGATTTTGGAGCACAATTCAAGGTGCTTTGAGGTGCCAACAATTGATCAGATACGGAAGTACGCACTGATTCACTGATTACAATCCATTCTTACGCTCATAACGTATGCATGGAATTGTACGCGGGAGAACCAAATATTTACAACCACAGGGAGGCTAATGGGAGGCTCCCATGGATAAATGAATAACTGCTTTTTTGATGATTGCACACAGCAAACACTTAAGGGTTAACGAGTGAATTTCCGCACGTAGAATCAGGTATGATCCCACTGGAGATCTCAAATGTCTCGGAGCATCGTGACACCAACATCTGTGCCTTCACACCCAGGCAGAAGCCCTTAGAGACACGGGATTGTAAACAGCACAGCCACGCACATCGGCTTGGGATGTGTCTCCCACCTCCCTTAGATATCCTCGATAAGTTATTTTCGTTTTGTATTTACACTAAATCATAATAATAATCCTAAGAGCAGTCTGGTGTTAATTGGGCAACTTGAAGTTAGGTACAGTTATGAAATATATCGGTCGCAGTTACATTTTGTTGTCAAAGTTACAAATCAAGTTTGCGAACGTGGCTGCTTGTATCTGGCACCAATGTTCTGCTTCGGGATTCTTTTTTCGAGGAAGATTTACGATGCAAAGGGAGGCAAACAAGGTCGTAACGGACAACAGGAAGTTTATCTTCCCTGCGCGAGACACCGAAGGATGGGCAGGGCGCGCTACCTTTCCGGCAGCGTCCGGGGAAGCGAAACGCTGCAGCAGGAGGCTGGCCACCTCCATCTTGCCGTACTTGGATGCGACATGGAGCGGTGTGAATCCCTTCTGTGGTGGGGAGAGAGAGAGAGAGACGGCAGCAGCGCGTTCAAGGAACTGGGGGGTCACGGTGACTGCATGAGGTCGGAGAAGTCAACGAGGGTGGTGGATCTTCTTGGTTCTTTCGGTAAAGTCACGTAGAAGGGAAGTAATAAAAAAAACAAGTCTGTCGCCTCGACAGACTTGGTTTTCACCTGAGGACGGCTGCTTGCGTTGTGGCCGAAACGTCGTGAGAATAATTTTATTATGTTTTTTGTTTTTGTTTTTTTTACTTCCTTCTACGTGACTTTACCGAAAGAACCAAGAAGATGAATCCCTGCAGTCACGAAAGCTTTAAATCGAAAAATGAGGGTGGTGGATTCGGAGGTTTTGGGCGGGGATGGTCTGACCTTTTGGTAGAGGTAGCAAGGAAACATGGGTCAAGGTATCTGACCTTGGTTGAAGAGGCAAAAAAGACTTGAAATAACCAGAGAGTCCCTGATCTTGGCAATGAGTACTGGAGAAGACGTAACCCCTGTGGCGACTACCAAGACAGGATCTCACCTTGGTGATGACTACTAGAGAAATTCCAACTTTGTTGGTGACTAGCAAAGGATCTGACATAGGTAGTGGCAACTACCAGCAATAACCTGACATAGGTGGTAACCAGAGCAGACATGACCTTGGTGGCGATGGTCACAACCCTGGTGGTGACCAGAGCAGACCTTACCATACGGTAGCGATATGTTAACTACCTCGTCTGGTACGCAAGAGGTTGTGGGTTTAAAACCCGACCCTGATGCCTGTATATTTGGAGTTTGCATGTCTCTCTCCCCGTGGTCACGTGGATTTTTCTCCAGTGTTCCCCAGTTTCCCATCCACATTTAGAATCAACATCACGTATTCAGAGTATTTGGCTGCTACAAATTTCTACGTGGTAAGCCACTTCGTCGAGCTATCATTTGTGGCCCAGTCGCTTCTGAAAAAGAGTTCTATACCTCAACGGGCCTTACCTGGTAAATAAAAAAAATAGTTTATAGTTTAGTTTTAGTTGACAATAACAGTGATTAACAAAGGATTTGACCTTGCGGCGATGACCCTGGCGGTGGTGACAACCAAAACACAAACTAACTTTGCTGGCGACTACGAAAGAGCGACTCTGAACCCTGCCAACGATGAACAGCAAATACAGCGACACCCGCAGAAAGCCCCAACGTGGTGGTGGTGTTGGTGGCGGCAGTGGCATGCACGGTGCGGCGCGATCCTCGAGCGAAGGCCTGACCTTGGTGGTGACGGCGAGCGAGGCGCCGTGCTCCAGCAGGATGGCGGTGACGTCCTCGTGGCCCTCGCGTGCCGCCACGTGCAGTGGCGTGTACCCGTTGGAGGTGGCCGCGTCGGGCGAGGCCATGTGCTGCAGCAGCAGCTGCACGATCTCCAGTTTCCCCAGCCGTGCCGCGATGTGCAGCGGCGTCTGCTCCTCCTGAGCGTCGCGCAACAACGCGCGTCGCACGGGTGTTTTGCGATCGTTAAAAAGTGGCTGAGAGTAAATCGCTGGACGATGTCGGGCCCCCGCGAGACTTCACTTCGCCCCGTGGCCACGCGAGAAGCCTCGCAAGAATGAATTCTCTCTCGGGTCACACGCTACGAGGAATTCCTGTCTATGCAGCCACGGCACGCGGGGAGGGGCTTAAGCCGGCCGTTGTTGACCGTGCCGTGGCAGTTAATTATTTTAGGCTAAGTGAACTTCATTTCGCACGGCTCCTCATATCATACGGCCCACGGCCACCTCGACGCCTGCCGCTTCCAAACAGCACGTCAAAAATATTTATCCACCGCTTCAAGCATCTCAGCCGCACTAATCGGGTACTAGAGGGGAATATTTTAGAGCTGGCAAACTACGACTGCTGCGTTGATAGTTTCTAGCAACCACGCTCGGTCACATCTTCGTACTGCGAAGCTATATTGTCGCGTCTTCATACTGTGCTCACTTGCTCTGACAGGGCTTCATAGGCACCTGCGTTTGGAAGACAGTAAATGAGCTGATCTGATTGTAAGTAACCCCTATAAGTGTAAAAAAGGCAGAGGTTAAATATCGTAGAAGGGATTCGGTTGGAGTTGTGGTGGACGTGGGGGGGCAGGGGGGGTGAAGGGTGGATGGGGATTTTATGTAAATCAGTGGCAACGCGGCACAGCGGAGCAATCAATGTCAATGTAAACCAATTTTAAATCACAAAATAATAAGCAAACACGGACCACCACGTGGGCTGCCTGCATCTCTAATCAAAGCAGGGGAATTGAGCAAGGCTGTGTTTGCGTGTGTGTGTGTGTGTATTCATATAAATTCAATTTTAAATATAACCCAATTTCCTCTTCACTCTGCCAGGTTATTGATTGTGGCAGGAGGAGGAAGCCTTCCAAGCAACTGTCAGCCACGGTAGCGCAAGCAACCAGACGGTCCAATGCAGGGCTCCGTTTGTTGCCGGCTCTGTCCGGGGTCGACAACCCGGAAATAATTTTCGCACCCAGCACACCACATCCAGTTTGCGTCTCACTATGGCTGTTGTCACCCTTAACGTGCATGTCTATGTTGAAACTTCTTTTGCACCGTACGTAGCCAACCGCGCTAAACGGAGGTGCGGGGGAAGGACAACAAACGAAGCACAAAAAGCCTGTCTACCAGCGACCCGGAAAATATCCATTGAGGCCTCACTACAACCGAGTGAATTCACTGTCCGTGGTCAAACGCAACACACATTTCACGAATAAGAATTGGCCCAAACATCGCAAAGCAGGATCATCAACCGATGATCCATTTTTGAATCCAGGATCTCAGCGGTACCTTCACGTAAACTCCGGTCAGCAGTGGCTTTCGGCGAGCCATTGAACAAAGACGGTAACCACATCGCGCGCTTTCACATGCGCTTCTGCGGCCATCTGGAACGTTCTTCCTTCCAATATGAGGAAGCCAATGGAGCAATGCACTTTTAAATCTAGATTGTAACTCATTTCTTGAGCACTGCTTTTTGTGTTTAGTTTGTCGTCCTTCCCCCGCACCTCTGATTTGCACGGTTGGCTAAGTACGGTGCGAAAGAAGTTCAACATACACACCTATGTTTCTGATTGACGACTGAATGTGTCACGGCATGCCCTTACCCTGGCCTTGGCGTCCACTTGAGCGCCGTTCCGAAGGAGGCTGCGCACAACCTCCGTCTGCCCGGCGCGCGCGGCCATGTGCAGAGCAGTCTCCCCGCGCTGTGCACGCACGCACGCACGCACGGCGACACGGAGCAGACGCTCGTCACCGCTCGCCGTTGCCGTTCACGGGGGACGCCGCCACGTTGCAAACTCGCACACTTCCCAGGGGACATTTTCCCATGCGCGTGCCGACGCTCGGCACACGCCATCTTGCATTGGTCGCGAAAGTACGAGCGGTTGGCGGCGGGGGGGAATGCACTACGAGCAATTTGAACCCTTTCCCGTTCCGATGACGTTTGCTGTACGTCATCAGTTTTCCTTCTGATTCAGTTCGGCACCGAAACGGAATCGAAAAATAAATAAATAAAGCCACTTTATCGGTATAGAGGCTCCCACAAGGCCCCTAGTGGTGGCCTAGTGTCAGTGTGTCTAGGGGTGATGCATGGGGGCCAAAATTAGTGCCCACGCGTGAAGGAGGACCGCTCGTAAGGCCCGCCAACTCGCCGAGTTTGCCCATCGCTGCGATAGAGGATATGTTGGCCTCCTGTTCCAGGCTGGTCAGCTCCAACACAGAGCAAGCAGCAACCACTCCCCGAGATTATCCATACCCCGTCGAGCCGGACGTAGCAAACTAAACTATTTATCTTTTTCCAGGTAAGGCCCACTGAGCTGTACCAGCTGTTTTTCAGAAGTCACCTGGCCACAAATGATAGCTTAACGAAGTGGCTTATCATCACGTGGACATTTATAGCAGCCAAATACTACTCTAAATGCATGATGTTGTTTCTAAATTTGGAGGAAAAACCAGAGTACCCGGAGAAAAATCTACGCGATCATGGGGAGAGAGAACATGTAAACTCCAAATATACTGGCGTCAGGGTCGTGATCGAACCTATGACCTCGTTCATACCAGGCGAGGTAGTTATGAACTCGCCACCGTGGCAGGATGAGAGCGGAGGTGTCGAGAGGGAAGGCTGGACTCACCACGTTGGTGGCGTTGGGAGAGGCCCCCCCTTGCAGAAGAATCAGCACGATGTTGAGGTTTCCCATGAAGGCAGACACGTGCATGGGCGTCAACCCGGACTGCGTGCACACACACAAAAACAAATATCCTTGAAAGACTGTTGGGACAAGGGGGTGGGTGGCCACCACCACGCCCGACCGCCTTTGTCTCCCCAATGGCGACGTTTACACGACCTAGGGGAGGCCCAGGATTGTTTCAGATATGTCACCGATGTTGGCCATGAGCAGGAATTGAATGTGGGGTCTCCGGGTTCATAGCCCAGCGCGCTAACCACTTCACTTCCGCGCACACACACACGTATACATGTACACATGCACACACACACACATGTATACATGTTAAGACGAGTAGTGGATGACGGGATGTCACTCTGGGAGAGAGAGTGGATGACGTCATGTTACGCGGGGATATAAGGGGGTACCCGTGACGTAAGGGGGGTCGTCGAGAGGGGCTAGGATCGAAGGGAGTTGAGAGAGTCGGGACCCGGGGAAGGAATAATTAGTACCAAGCTAGGGGGGCTACTTCACCCGACCGACCGAGATGGATGACCCCTCGGTCGGTGCTGAGGGAAGAGCACGAATAGCCTGGGAAGCGCTAGGGACCTCCCAGTACCATTTCCCCTGGGGAGATTTTACGTTATACCATTGGAACCTCATTTGCCAGTAGCAAAATATGATAATTGGTTTTTAACCCTTTTATCTGGCAACAAAACTGACACCTTTTTTACAAGGAGTCATGTTTGCATTGACCACAATACCTGCGGTCGGAATGCAAACAAAAAACATAACTCTGATAATGATATGCACTGTCCTTGAAATTGATTGGTTCACACCCGAGACAGCTTTCTTTAGAGCCTAGTCTCACATGGTGTTGGACCAGATGACGCCAAAAGGCGCACAACTCAAAGACAATGCACGTTGCCAACTGTTAGGCGTAAGCCCTTATGAGTTCCCGGCATTATCCCTTAATAAATCCTGGCATTCCGGCCCTACTAAAGAACTGCATCGTCTGTTGCACCTCAACACATGTACACCTGCACACACGCGCGTGTATTCACACACGCCGACATGTCAGCCTCCGTGCGAACTGTGTACCCCGATGGGCGCGCGATGCGACCGCCAGCTCGCTTCAAAGTGTGGCGTTCCCACAGGGGGGGCCGTGTGTTCCCGCACCCCCGTGTCGTGAGATCCTTTCTAGTTTCGTGAAAATCAATTGTATTAATTATCGCTGCATCAGCTGCTATAATTGGCCCATGGGAATTACGTGCATTATTTGGTGGAATACATCCTCTCTTACACAAGCATATGCGTAGACACACTCGTATTAGCATGAACACAGACATGCTAATCTGGAGAGAAGAAAAAAACAACATTCTTTAATGTGTTTTTCACCATTTATTTCCCAATCGTGCTATTAGCATGCAGCTAAGTGAGGGCCGAAGTCGCTTTCTGAAACTCCCTGCAGACACCAGAGCTGCACACAACGTGCTAAACGTGACTTTGTAGGCTTTCACTGAGCGTCGCTCAACGTACCGTCTTGCCGCAAACTCTGCACGGATTTTCTAATTAGGCTGCTTAAGCTGAGCTCTCAACATTCGTCAATTTGCACCAAATAGCAAACATGAACGCAATCGTTCGCTGTCGGCAATTTAACGACGCTCACAACAAGGAACGTTCGTTTTTTTATTTCAATATTGATAATTTCCACTGGAATTCTATCCCGATTTTGTTGTCGCAGAGCAATGCAAACCCTTCGCACATGGAGTGGATATCTCTGACAATCCTTCAAGTGATCTCTGGTTCACACAGTGAGTGACCTCTAGCCCACACAGTGAGGGGTAGCACCTTCCCTCTCGCTCTGCACGCGGGATTCAACGAACGCAAACACAACACGGATGAAGCTCGAATCAGCACACAGAGGCATGGGTGGGAGGTGCGGTTACGGTGATGGCAGGGTCACAGTAAATGAGTTCAGAGGTCACGGATAAGGACTCAGGGGGCAGGGGTCGTATTTGGGGGAGGGGGGGGGTAGGGGGGGATGTTGGAGAGCGGCGAACCTCGGTCACGGCCTCGATGGACGCCCCGTATTTGAGCAGAAGCTCCATGACGCGAATCCGGTTCTTCTTGCAGGCGATGTGCAGCGGCGTGAAGCCGTTCTGTCCCGGGTGTGCGAGCCGGATGACAAAACCACGGGGCAGAGGGGAGAGGAGACACACGGGGAAGAGACACAGAAGGAGATTCAATGAGAGAGGCAATGTCAGACATGATTGCACGGCTGGGGAAGACGGAAAAGACGACAGGGAGAGCGTGACATCCGACAGATGAGATGCGCAGTTTAATAAACACACGGGTGAAACGTAATTGGGAAGACGCAACAGTGAAGAAGGCTTGTACGCAAATAATATCAAGCTGGATGGAAAACGGAAACGTCAAGGCGATTCGGCACGGAGGCTCACGCAGCCGCTCGTAATCCAGGCATGGTCTTCCCCGTCAGGCTGTGCGTTGAGCATTTCCCCTATCAAGCTTTCACCACGCACTACTGCGGGCACCTCCAGGAGCTCGGGAGCTGAAGATGCCGCCGCAGCCGTGCGTCGAGAAAGCTCGTGAGAAAAAACACTCGACAACACGTGGCCCAACCCGGAAGAGACTGTACGCACACTTGGAACATCAAGTCCATCGAGAACAAACGGTAAACAAAGCCCAGCACGCAACACATCGTAGAGCAGTGCTTCTCAACCGTTCTCTCACACTCCCGAAGCTCGCTCGATCTTCGCGAAACACGGTTTGCCCAACTGCGCGTGCCCGACCGAGGGAGTTGAGGAGGGCCGAGGGGGTGGGGGGCCGACGGCCGCCTTGCTGCTACCATACTGCGTCGCGACCAGTGGAGAGGGGAGGGCGGGAGGAGGCGGGGGAGGGGGGGGGGTGCTGGATTGGCCACTAAACGGCTAAACAGGAGGAGTAGGAGAGTTCGTCTGTCCCAGCTTGCCAACGAGGTTCTTTCCTTTTCCTATTCTTCCGAAAATACCGCCACAGCACAACCGCTCGGCGTGTTGTGGCACACCCGTTGTGAAGCAATGCTGTGTGGAAGATGGGATGACTCTTTGGTTCTTTCGGTAAAGTCACGTATAAAGAGAAAGTAATAAATTAAATACTAGCATACGACGTTTCGATTGTAACACAAGCAATCATCATCAGGTATAAATGAAATAGAAACACAAATCTAGTATACTTAGAAATGTAATGTAATACAACAGAAAGTCGGATAACATAACAGTCAACACCCTACCTGGTTGATTACGTTCTTCCTGAGAATGCTAAATTTGAGATAGAGATAAAACACAAAACCAGAGACATATAGACAGACATATAAGTAGCATTCTCAGGAAGAACGTAATCAACCAGGTAGGGTGTTGACTGTTATGTTATCCGACTCTCTGTTGTATTACATTACATTTCTAAGTATACTAGATTTGTGTTTCTATTTCATTTATACCTGATGATGATTGCTTGTGTTACAATCGAAACGTCGTATGCTAGTATTTAATTTATTACTTTCTCTTCATACGTGACTTTACCGAAAGAACCAAAGAGTAATTCCTGCAGTCACGAAAGCTTCAAATTAAGTATGAGGATGGGATGGACCGACACGGTGGTGTAAAAGCGGCGCGCTTCTCAAACTCCAGTCGTTGTGACCGCACTCTCCGCCAGTCCGGTACACACGGCGGTGGAGTGACCCACATAAGCACGGTGGTGGCATGGCCCACGTACGCATGGCGATGGCGTGACCCGCATACACACAGCGGCGAGAATTTGTAGGAAAAAAATTACGGGAAGGCGTTGTCACTGGGGGTAGTCGCGAGTTCTGGAGTTTGAGAAACTGTGGCTGATATGAAGACGCAACGCGAACAAAAATGATCGGCTCTTATTTTGCGAACCGTACCCAGGATTGTTTTCCAGGCTGTCTGACTTTAGCGTAAAGGTTTATTCGTGCAAAAAAACGTTGAAAGTTCAGGTCACCCACTCCATTGTAGCTCTGTCGTGATGTTTTCACGGTTTATATAAAGCAGAAAGTAGGGTACGCGCGTACATAAGACTGTCGCATCTGGAGGTGTTTTGTGGGAAGAGCTTTCGACTTGTGCTCCAAAACTGTGACAAACGGAGGCACTGGGGTGCCCATTGTGTTTATTAGCACGGCACAGCCCAAGTGCATGAGTTCTAAGTTCCATTGTAGTCACACCGCTGAAGTGCAATAATTTCTAAACTTAAATAATGCCCTTCATCATATCGTCCTCTATTTATCTAAGTTGTGCCACACTGAGTTTCAAGACTTTTTTGTTAAAGAGGGTCTTGCATCGAGATGTATAGATGTCAGGAGAAAACACGAGTAATTGGAAACAACTCGCACATACAAGGAGGTAATACTCAAAAGCTCCATATAGATGGATACAAGAATGCTTTTCTGTACTACCGTTTCCTGGCCATTCCGCAACCCAAGCCTGCGTCGCCTGGTGGGTCCCAGGCCGACATCCGCGGAAGAACTAACCACGCTCGAAGCTTGCTTAGCTTCTGAGATCTGACAAGACGGGTGCTGCATTTAGGTTGAGTTAGTCGACGGCGGTCTACAGAATAAGAGCAATTCATTTCCTATTGGTTGCATCTTCCTGCAATGTGGGGAACACGGACAGGAGCACGATAGTTCAAACACGACTCGTGCACACGAGAGGTAAGGTGAGACACACACACACACGCGTATGCGCGCGCGCATGCACGTGCGTGCGGGTAAAGAGCAATCGAGTGTGCAGGTGGTGTAACTGCACCGGAACCCCATGGCCTTGAGGGGCCCGGGTGCCAGGCTACAAAGAAGGGGGGGGGGAGGGGCGGAGAGGAGGGAGAATCGGACAGAGTGGAGGCCTCCCGCGTTTCATTCCTTGCGCCACCAGTGCGTGCACGCGTGTGTGTGTGTGTGTGCGTGTGTGCGTGTGTGCGTGCGACACGAGAAGCTGACGCACCAGCGCTCGGACGTTGGGGTTGGCGCCCTTGTCCAGGAGCACCTTGGCGGTGCGGTAGTGGCCGCAGTGCGCCGCCACGTGCAGCGCCGTCAGGTAGTCCAGGGTGATGTCGTCGACGGGGGCGCGGTACTGCATGAGCACCTGCACGCACTCCACGTGGTCGCCCTGCGTCGCCATGTGCAGCGGGGAGAGCCCGTTCTGTGGGGGGGTGGGGAGGCGGCGGGCGCGCACACACGGAGGCAGGGGTTACCCGTGTAGCCGTGCACACCGTTGGTAGCGAGAGCTGTGTGCGAGCGCACTATTCACCCTTTCCCGTTCCGAGACATCTGCAAGTTGCATGGTGGGTGTCCCGTTCGCCTCTGAAGCTTGGAAGACACAAGCGGCTGTGGGTTTATTTTATTTAGAAAGGCGTAGTAGCGCCATTGTTTTTCAAGAAATTGTACTCACCGCAGAATACTATAGCGACACAACCGCACTCTATAACAGCAAAACAGAAATCGAACTCGGGTTACCGGGTTTATACTGCAGTGCGCTAACCGCTGCACTACTGCTTCTTTAGGACGCGCACGTACGCGTACACACACAAAGATCCTCCAGGTAGCCATGAATATTGTTGGTGGCAAGGGCTGTTAGCGAGAGCACCACAAATCATCAATCATTTAAAAAAATAAAGTCTGGAATCAATATGCTTTGTTCGCTGAACAAACAGCTTACAGCAGAGGCATGTAATGGTACATCAATTGGGTGACTATAATCTATTATTGCGTTCCCATGACATGCATCAAACGATGCGTGTACAGCAATAATTAATTATTTATGGTGTATGAAAATTACATGCAAAGGATTAGCTCAGTTTACGCTTAGGGCTCATGTGGTGAACAAAACTGTATGTGAAACAATATGAACGGAACTGAAAAATATTTTTTTTAAATGTTTATCAAATCTGAACCCCCTTATTGTGACAATCCATCAAATCATTGGGGGAGGTGAATCGTTACACACCACAAGGCTGACAGTAGAACGTGAAAGCCAAAATTGAGTGTGCAGCACAGGAACAAATGTCGGGATTCAAATGTAGCCAAGTGTTCAGTGGCTTTGCTGCTGGGAAAAGCTGAAGGTGCAGGTCTGCATTTTCTTGCTCATGGCACTGCCGGTGGAAAGGCACCCCTCGAGAGAGTGAGAGTATCTTCTTGGTTCTTTCGGTAAAGTCACGTAGAATGGAAATAATAATAAAATAATAAAAATAAAACATAATAAAATAATTCTCACGACGTTTTGGCCACAACGCAAGCAGCCGTCCTCAAGTGAAGAACAGGTCTGTCGAGAAGACAGAGTCTGTTTCCATTCTACGTGACTTTACCGAAAGAACCAAGAAGATTAATCCCTGCAGTCACGAAAGCTTTAAATCGAGAGTGAGAGTATTTGGCCTACTCTTCTACACTGGCCCGACCATCTTAGAAGAGGTGGTTGAACCACACATTTTAACCCACCACACGTGACCGACCGATCTCCTAACCGCTGGTTGGACAGGGGGTTTTGAATCCAAGCGGCGTGACCTCCGCGAGAGGTCGTAAACTCTCTTACCTTGGTCTTGGCGAGTATCGGGGCGCCCTGCTCCAGCAGAATCTCCACCACCTGCTCGTGGCCGCTCCGGGCCGCGCAATGCAGCGGGGTCAGTCCGTCCTGGCGGTGTGCGGAGATGTGGGGGGGTGGAGTGTATAGAACATGAGTCCCCAAGGGTGAAGTCCCAAGTGATTTGCTGCTGAAATGAAACTGAACTATTTTTTTTTATCTTAGCAGATGAAGCCCACTGAGCTATATGGCTCTTTTTCAGAAGCGACCTGGCCACAAATGTGGATTATCGTTTTGTGGAAATTTACAGCAGTCAAATCATCTAAACGCATGTTTATGAATGCGGAAGGGAAAAACCGGAGGACCCGGAGAAAAATCCACGTGACCACGGGGAGAGAGATACGCAAACGCCAAATATACAGGCCTCAGGCTCGGGACCGAACCCATGACCTCCTGCACACCAGGCAAGGGAGATAACATCTCGTTACCATGGCGCTCTCCAGCTCTGAGCCGGTGGAGGAAATTCCACATTCCTATGGCAGAAGTGAGTCTTTATGTAGGACAACCACTGTTGACTTCACCCAAAACGTCATAGTTGTTTCAATCCACCCAAGTGGGATGATGGGCTGAGTCAACCCTCAAGCAGGATTTGAACTTCCAAACTTCAAATTGTGAGCCGCTTCACTCTACCACTCAGCCACCTGGTGGCCAAGCAAAGGTGCATAAATATTCGGATTATTTTTGCCTTGTTCACTCATCAATGCTTCCCTGAAAACCGGTACCATCATTTATATATATAGGAGATTCCAAGAAACATTGGGGGACTGCGTTGGCTTTGGCGCAAAAATGTACAGGAAAAAGAATGAAATTACTTTCATGTTGCGAAATGTACCCGACATGTTCACGTACTTTATATCCGTGAGAATAAGTTGAGCCATAGGCGAAGGCTATCATTGTTCATCGGCGAAGGCTGCGATTTTGTCAGGGAGGTCATCACTGGTCATGGCCATTACGAATTGGAATGAAGTCCAAAGTGAAATCTTGGACGTGGTTGGAGAGACAAACGAGATGGGGCTCTCCCTTTGGATCCTTTCAAAAATGCGGTACACTGGGGGGGTTGGCGGCAGTGGGGTTATGATCCATGTTGGGGCTACCCCACCCAACTCTGTGACATTTCTGATGATAATTATCTGAATTACAGTTGATTTCCTGCACCTCGACCACATCCAGCTTACAGCCTTAGTCATGGCCCATGCCAGAGGCTTATGTTGTATGCATGTTGAACTTCTGTCGCACCGTACGTAGCCAACCGTGCTAATCAGAGGTGCGGGAGAAGGACAACAAACTAAAGACAAAAAGTAGTTTGAAAGAAATCAGTTTTCAGTTTAGATTTAAAAGTCCAGTGGCTTCCGAATATCTGCAGTAAGAGCAGTAAGAGCGTTCCAAAGGGCCGCAGAGGTGCATCTGAAAGTGCGCGCTGCGGTGACTGTCTTTGTCCGACAGTTGGCCAAAAGCCGCTGCCGCGAGGATGACCGGAGTTCACGTGATGGTTTGTGCTCATTGACACGAGATCGGCGAAGTACTGTGGTTCAATTGTGGAAAGCACTTTGGGTGTAATGAGTGGTTGTGTTGGTGGGGGGGGGGGGGCAGTGTGACTCTCACCCGGGTCTTGCCGTCGATGTTCGCTCCATGCTCGAGAAGCAGGCGAACCACGTTCCCGTTGCCTCTCTTGGACGACACGTGCAGAGGGGTGATTCCGTTCTGCACGGTCACGAACACAGTCACGCACGCACGGTCACGCACGGTCACACACAGTCACGCACGGTCACGCACACAGAGTCACGCACACACAGTCACGCACGCAGTCATGCACACACAGTCACGCACACACAGTCAAGCACTCACAGTCACGCACACACAGTCACGCACGGTCACACACGGTCACACACGGTCACACACGGTCACGCACGGTCACGCACGCACGGTCATGCACGCACGGTCACGCACATACGGTCACGCACGGTCACACACGGTCACACACGGTCACACACGGTCACGCACGCACGGTCATGCACGCACGGTCACGCACGGTCACACACGGTCACACACGGTCACACACGGTCACACACGGTCACGCACGGTCACGCACGCACGGTCATGCACGCACGGTCACGCACATACGGTCACGCACGGTCACACACGGTCACACACGGTCACACATGGTCACACACAGTCACGCACGGTCACACACACACGGTCATGCACGCACGGTCACGCACACACAGTCACGCACGCACGGTCACACACACACGGTCACACACACACAGTCACACACACACGGTCACACACACACGGTCACGCACGCACGGTCACGCACGCATGGTCACGCACGCACGAGCGACGTGAGCGCCTTCCAAAGGCAACCGCTATCTCACTGCTCCACCTCTTCCAATGCGATGGCATCCGTGCGAAACTTACACCGAGCCAAGGTATAAAGATAATAGACATCGTCATCAATCATCATCACCACCGCCATCATCACCACCACCACCACCGCCACCATCATCCTCCTCCTGTCTCCATAAACTGCTTAGTTAAAATTCATCATCCTCAATCAATAAAGGAATTACTGTCATTGTCATCTCTGCTGATGATTCCTTCATGGTGAAGGAATTGCCAAGGTTGGCTACGTGCGGTGCGAAAAAAGTTTGACACACATACAACCTGATAGACTCACAGTGACGACATCACCTTTACTCTATTTTAGACCAAAACAGGGAGACTTCTTCACAATTCTGGCTATTGCATGATGAAGCTGGTTGTAATTACAAGCGAAACGTCTTGTAAATAATGTGGGTAAATCTCCAACACACCGGTGTGCTGAAGTAGTAACTGGCACGTTTTGTTTACATGACGAACCTTACTAATTGGCTATGTCGGGTGGTGGCGGGTTAACAATACATTTATATTGACGCGATCCAACCCAAAAAACCTTTATCATTATTAATATTGGTCGCGAAAGCCTACGTGTTAAACATACAACCATGACAAGGCCCTTTATCCAGCAAGTGAAACATCAATGACTCTTGAAGCTGATAACAGGAACAAAATCATCATCATCATCATCAACAGCAGCACTGAGAACGAATTTCGAATGCAGTCGGCCAAACATCCCAATGCAGGATCCTGTTGACGAAAGGCCCCCCCCCCCCACCCCCCCCACGAGACCGAGCAGCTCCTCACGTTGGCAGCGAAGTTGACGGCGGCTCCGCGATTCAGCAGCAGCGTGGCCACGTTGATGTTCCCGTAGTGCGCGGCGATGTGAAGGGGCGTGAATCCGCTCTGGAACACAAACGCGGGCGCACGCGCGCGCATCGTCCGTCAGCCTCTGGGCGCGAGGAGCGCCGCACTGCTACACTCCTCGGGCAGCTGCGCCGGTGCCAGGGACTTTCTCGCATAGGTAAACATTGCTCCCTTTGACGAAGAAAACATGTCAGCAACCTTGGTGAAGGTGGTGGTGGTGGTGGTGTTAGTGGTGGTGTTAGTGATGGTGTTAGTGATGGTGTTAGTGATGGTGTTAGTGATGGTGTTAGTGGTGGTGTCTGGTTTTCGAGTCCGTCTGTACGTATTTGCCTCTCTGTCTCTTTTTTTTCTGTATGTGTGGATTGGGCCCACGTGTGTGGACATTTCTAGATTTGAAGTTTTCGTGACTGCAAGGATTCATACTCTTTGGTTTTTCAGTAAAGTCACGTCGGTAAAAAATTAAACTAAATTAAATCACGACGTTTCGGGCGCAACACAAGCGTCCTTCCTCAGGTGGGGACAACTTAGCAAAAGCACATCACAAATCGTCTTGGTTCTTTCGGTAAAGTCACGTAGAAGAGAAATAATAAAATAATAAAAATAAAACACACTTAAGCGGTTGTGCTTTCGCTAAGTTTTCCCCACCTGAAGGAGGATGCTTGTGTTGCGCCCGAAACGTCGTGATTTAATTTATTTAAATGTTTTACCTACGTGACTTTACCGAAAAAACCAAAGAGTATTTATACATTTCTCTGTTCCTCTCTCTCAGTAACTAGGTTTTTCATTAAAATATATATAATTCAGCCTATATTTGAATAAAAACATTGGTTTGTATACAATTTGAATGTTGTTTGAAGTATATTTGATTTAACAAACATAAACATTCTAGGTATATTGATGCGTGAGGTTGATTGTATATGCGTTTTATTTACATGCTATCGTTTTGTAATAAGTACAGTTCGCAGCAATAATCCATTACACCAAATCACAGCCCTAGAAATCACAAAATGCTGAAAAACATTAATTGCCGAACTAATCAAGCAAGGCATTTAATTTTTTATGGAGCTCAAAGCCGTAAATAATCATGCGCGAGCTCACTCATGTGCCAGACTAACGTGTGTGCATGTCTTCATTAGCCATAGCCTCTAAACGGGTCATTCGATCTGCTAAGTCACATTCATTCGTACAATGTTAAACATTGATGGTGTGTGGTGAGTTGGTGGGGTGGTAAGTGAAAAGGTAGGTAGGCAATTTGTTGAGTAGGCATGTGGATGGGTGAGTCGGCAGGTAGTTGATATGGTGAACAGGCATGTGGGTGGGTCAGTGGGTAAGTAGGTGATTTGGTTAGTAGGTATGTCGATAGGTGAATAGGTAAGTAATTCGTTTGGTGAGTAGGTATGTGGGTAGTTGGGTATGTGGGTGAGTAGATAGGTATGTGGGTGAGTAGTAATGTGGATGGGTAGGTAGGTATGGGGGTGGTTAGGTAGTTGGATGGGTAGTTATGTATGTGGATGAGTAGGAAGATGGGTGCTTTGGTTGTGGGTGAGTAGGTATGTAGGTAGGTAAATGGGTTAGTAGGTAGGTACATGAGTAGATAGGTGGGTGAGTAGGTTCGTGGGTATGTAGGTATGTAGAGGTAGGTAGGTGGGTGTTCGAGTAGGTAGAAGGGTGGGTGGGTATGTAGGTAGTTGGCAAATGAAAAGAGGGGGGAAATAAAAAATACACCACTGCAAAACTGAAATAAAATAAACATAATCTTATATTCTTGGTTCTTTCGGTAAAGTCACGTAGAAGGGAAATAATACACGCTTCAACAATCATTCTTAAGATCGCACAACAATGGTTCATCAGCAAAAGCAATATTAATTTTGCTTAATGCAGTTGGCGCATCACTGCCAAACAGCTGATATTCACAGTCAGCAAAATAAAAATGTCCCTGTCGCAATGGAATAAGACGCATGTAGGATTAAACAAAGTGTTCTCGTACGTGTGCACAAAGATCTAACGAAACTCTGCAGTCACGCGGTGCACTGGCGGTGCAGAGCGTGCGGGCGGGCGTCACGATACAAACTGGAAAGCCAGCTACGTTTCACGAGAAACGCCAAAGCGCGAAACGTTACCTCCGTAGTTCTGTTCACCATCATCTGGGGGTTTGCGTTGCCAAAAAAATTCAGGACAGAAAACACAACAGTCTTTATCCTTTTTCAAAGACAAAATCATTGCGATGCATTTTGCACATTTATATATCATGATTGTATATATCGGGTCAAACACGCAATAGCTGTTGCGGGCATCAAAAATAGGTTCCTGCACAACAGTGCAATCCATTATTTACAATCTCCATAAAGTGCATCACCAGGCACTAGATCCTCCATAATCCATGAAATCCCAAGCAGGCACAGCGTGCGTGCGAGCGTGCGTACACTCATTAAGGCAATGTGACGTGGCTGTCAGGTCGCGGCCTGTTTCAAATAACGTAGAAATAATCTCGAATATTTTGAACGCTGCAATTGTTCCTGCCTCAAGCGGTTAGATGCGTCGCACGTTTACATCAGCGACAAGGTTGCATGGACAGAAGGAAGGTCAGCACGGCACAGGATGGGTGGTGGGGTGGCCAACACCACGTCTGGCCGCCTTTGTCTCACCCCTGCCTGATGTTTACACACTGCACCAGCTGGGTACTCATTTAAGGAGAGGCCCAAGACAGGTTAAAATATTTGCCACTGTTATTCGTCGCGAGCGGACCTGTCAAACTCGGGTCGCAGGTTAGTAGCGGAGTCCGCTAAACCCTTTCACTACCGCTCCCGATAAAACATGGTCAATACAGACACACAAGACAAAGATCCCCCATATAGCGTTAACATATAGTAAGGGAAATGTTAACTACACACCACATCAGGTACTCATTTTAGGTTGAGTCGACCAAACGCTCCCCAAAGATCCCCCGTATAGCCCTTACAGATTGTAGGAGAAAGTGCCGTTAGCGAGCACCTATGAAGGCTGGCACGGCACCCAGATGCCTTTTTCTCCCCAGTGACGATGTTTACTACACACCACATCAGGTACTTATTTGAGTCCAAGTCGACCTACCGCTCCCCACATGCGCACACAAAGACAAAGATCTCCCGTATAGCCTTAACAGACTGTAGGGGCAAGTGCTGTTAGCGAGCACCTATGAAGGCCGCAACGGTACACGAGGGGGTGTGTGGTCAGCACCACGCCCGACCGCCTTTGTCTCCCTAGTGGCGATGTTTACACATCGCACCAGGTACTCATTTGAGTCTGAGTCGACCTAGGGGAGGCCCAGGACCGGTTCAGATAATCCTCACTGGTGTTGGCCGTGAGCGGGAATCGAACTCGGGTCGCCGGGTTCATAGCGCAGCGCGCTAACCGCTACACTACCGCTCCCCACCCATGCGCACACACACACGCGTACACACACGCGTACACGCACACATGCAGGCAGTGCGGGCGGCACCTTGGACTGCACGTCTGCGTTGTGGTCGTTGTGCAGCAGCAGCGCGGCCGCCTTGGTGTCATCCTTGCGCGCGGCAATGTGCAGCGCCGGCAGCCGCACCTTGCCCTTGGTGTCATTCTCAAGCAGCACGGCCACCACCTGGTCGTGGCCTTGCTGCAGCGCCACGGCCAGCGGCGTGAAGCCATCCTGCACCGCGCCAATCCCACCATCATCATCATCGTCATCCTTCTGGAGACGTCAACTCTCTCAAGTGCACGACACACTTCCCAGCCGTTGTTTATTCGCCGAGGCAAGACTTAATTCGCACCGCAATTAAAGATAACACGTAAACATTTTCTGTGAAATTTGCCTTGCAAAGAATTTAAAGAAAATTCTGATTTGCATGTAAATTGACTGTGGTGTGTGGGGGGGGGGGGGGGAGCACGCTATCAATACGAAACACGCTGCTGTATTCGAGCTGCGGCAATTTCACTAGCCACGAACCCACAGCCTCAATCAGTGCCAGCACGACCGGCTCCGGCAGCAGCAGCAGTCGCGACATCATTCGGTCCGGCAACGTCACCAAAGTCAACGCAAGTTCGTGCTTTTTTAAATTCTTTCTATGCTTGCACATGATGGAGCTAAATGCCACTGTCGCGGTCTCCTGGCCAAGACGAGAGGGCTTCAGGAAAGAGAGAGAGAGAGAGTTCGTGTCGTTGTTCTGCTCCCCTCCTCGTCCGTTGAAGGATCGCAGACCACGGGGGTTTGCGATACGGTCCACAGTGTGGAGTTGCATGGACACAGTCATGGACATAGTCCCACTCCTGTGGCTTGTGTTTGCTGTATCCTCCATGTGTCTCTGTATTCATCTCTATGAATCTCTATGGCTCTCGATGATTATACAAGTCTGTGTCTCAATGCGTTTAGTATGTGGTCCACGGTTTCCGTTGCATGGCCACAATTACTTTGGTTTGTCTATAATGTACCATTCATTATAATCACAGTGTTTGAACACAGACCTCCGCAGGCCTCTTAATGCAAAGTAGCCAGCAGCTGTGAGTAGCAACCACAGTTCAGCAGATAGCAACGCAATGTTAATTGCAGGTTCAGTTGGGGATGAGGGGGGGAAAGGAATTGGGGGGGAAGGGGGAATTGGGGGGGGGGGGGCATTGGGAATTGTGTTCATGGTCTAAAAATCTCTGGAGTGGCCTCATGAAAAATACATTACAGTTTGTTTCATCTAGAAACGTTCGAAATATTTATTCACGTGTTAAGTTTATTTAAATATGAACAAATAAAAGATGCTACCCTTAATCTTGTTGTTTTCATTGGGTTGTTTTCATTTCGCCCTCACGTTTTTTCCCCCACTTGACGGAGATTAATCCTCCCGAGTGGTGATAAACCGAGTGGGCGGTGGGGAGGGGGAGAGGAACCGGGGTGGGAGCAGGGGTCGGGGTAGGGTGAGGGGGTCAATTCCGCTCTGGCTTCCCAGGGGCAAAGATACCTAAATCTGGCCCTGGTTTCTTGAAATGAACAAGGTTATTTATCGGAGCTTGGGGAAGAGACACGATAAAATGAGAGTTGCAAAGCTGAGCAGAGTGAGGAAGGGAGGAATATAATCGTTGAGTTCTATGCAGCTGAACACTCTGTGGGTGAAGTCACGTAGAAGAGAAATAATAAAATAACAAAAATAAAACATTATAAAATAATAGAATACATTTCATTATTTTATTATTTCCCTTCTACGTGACTTTACCGAAAGAACCAAGAAGATGAATCCCTACAGTCACGAAACCTTTAAATCGAAATTGACTCTGTGGGTGAGCGAGTTAATCCAGTATGAGACCTTGACGAAGGTTCAGATGTTACTGGGTTGCAACGACTGGGCCAGTAGCAGGAAAAGAGAGACAAGGAAGAAAATAAGTGGGTGAATACTAGGCGCAAAAATAGCTGTCACAGGACTGCGTGAGCTACCAAGGTGTGCGAGCTGAGGGTAGTGGAGCAAAATCAATGGTTGTGTAGGGGTGTCAGGGGAAGGGAACCCACCAATAGGAGGGTTCGTGGGACGGTGACAGGAGAAGGGGGAGGGGAAATCGAGGAGATATAAGGGGAGAACGGGCGGGAAGAAGGGGCTTTTGTCGGGAACGAGATTGAGACGGCTGGGGACAGGTGTGGATGTGAGAAAAGGATTAAAAGACGAACCCCCTGCAACCTTGTGTCGGCTCTCCTTTACAGTTGTACTATATTTCTATGCTCCCGGGGCTATGCTCCCTGCCTTCCCCAGCATTGGTGATGTAAGGTCAAATATACCTCCATGACCCGTAGATGGTGGGAAGCCCTCACCCAGCAGTGTTGACAACAGAGCTGTACGTGTACCTGTGCAAGCAAATTAAGTGCAAGTCCACTTGGTACGTGGTGTTACCTCCTCGGTTGACATCTCGCCTTGTGCTCAATATTTCACCTCATTCACGGTCTGATCAACGCCTTACCCAATCAATGTCACATGTGGTCAATGACTCACTTTGGGTGATTCTTCACCTGGTCTGCGCCTGAATTGATGAGGTCTCTCTCCCCTGGTGAACATATTATCTGCTCAGATCTTCACCCGGTTGACATCTCACCTGGTTGACAATGGCCACGATCAGGGTGAATTGGCCCTACGTGTGAATCACCATCATCCATGCAGCTGTAATAAAGGTCGTTGAAGCGACTTCTGGAATCCGGTCTTTATTCGTCTTTCATTACAACACTCCTTCACGCTGCTGACAGACAGCGTGAGAGGGATAGAAAAAGACGCGCGCAGCCACGTGGCAGCCTGGACCACGTGGCAGCATGGACCACGTGGCAGCCTGGACCCCCGCTCTCGCGTGGCCTCTCCCTCCGTTCGTTCAAGTTCTGACCACGTGTTGTTCGTCTCAACCCCTATTTAATACCCGGGTCACGTGGTACGTTTCCACCAATCCTGGTAAGCCTCTATGGAATCTTCCAGACTCCATCGTAGGCTCCCGGGACCACGCCCCTGACTCGTCTCCCCATTGGCTGCGGCTAAAGCCAGCAGAACCAATCCTCTACTTACAGCTGTCACCTTTCCATTACGTCAGGGCCACGCCCCTAGGCTTCCCCCCATTGGCTATGGACCAGGACCGGCAGAGCCAATCATCGTGACGAGTTGTAATCCGTCAGCGACCCGGATATATCCTCACATTACACAGCCATCCTCTATCACCATCATCCACCACCTCCGGTGAGCATGGTTGGCTATGTACGGTGCTTATGAAGTTCTACATACATCCAGCCCCCAGTAGGCCTAATCTATCGCGTCTCACCTCGGTGGCGATGCCCTGGTTGGCTGTGTTCTCCAGCAGATATTTGACGACGTCCAAGTGATTCTCTTGCGCCGCCATGTACAGCGGAGTGAAACCATTCTGTAAGCGCACGCAACATCGCGTACACACACACACACGCACCGCACACAAACACGCACGTGTGGACACATTAAGCATGACACAAGTCAAACTGTCTCCAGGTTTAAACAGGCGTTTGGTTAGTTCTCATTTCTATTTGCAGCCCTACATGATCATTTTTTATCACAGCATGATCCATTCACTGTGGGATGAAGGCCTCCATAAACTGCCGCCAGCCCTCGCGGTTCTGCGATGCACTCATCCCCCGAGCTGCTGCACAAGAGCTCATGTCGTCCGTCGCTCCATGTCGGAGGTAATAGTCATGCTCTCCCAATGGACTCTCACGTGGTAAATACCATTCCACAGATATAACTACGGCCTACAGATAGTCAATCTTATATTTTTAGCTGGCACATACACACACACACCTCGATAGCGATACACATCGACACACTCTTACTCATCGTGTTGTCGGATCTTTATTATTTTTATTATCCCATTTCTGTTCACACCGTGCAGTGCACCCCCTCATGTCACATAAGATGGCATCCCAGCTGCCCCTTCGATTGCCTCCTACCCACACTATGTGGTGCTTTTTTTCAAAACTGGAAATTTCAAAATAATCATGCTGTATTATATTAAAAAAAGTTTTGCTGACTGGCTGGATAGCTGGAGGGAGGGCTGCTAGTTGAGTGAAACTTTTTAAAATGAAATTATTGATAGTTCGGCCGAGACCATCAACCCTCGAAAACCCAATTTAATGAAGATGGGCTTGCCGAGTGCAGGATGTCAGTGTTGTTAGCTCAGTGCCTACACAGAGCATTATCTCCCTGAGCCACCTGGCCATTTCGATGTCACACAATTTTTAACGACTCCGAAGCTGATGGCAAACTTCAAATTAACTCTTCGTGAAGATTACTGGCGAAGTTACACTGCCCTTTATAAATCCACTGGATTAACGCCACCCCACCCCGTGTCAGTCACGAGGGTTGCTTGACCATACTTCACCACATTTTGTTGGTGCGGGTTGGTGAAAGGGGGGGGGGGGGAGAGGAGAGGCGGGTGACCAAGACCGGTTATCACTCGGAAGCGATATTAGCCAGAGAGCCGAGAATCCAAGTCAGGGCGCCGGGTTCGTAGCGGAGTTGGCCGGCCTCACCAGCGAGGATCAAACACGGAGGCAGAGTCAAGCAACTCAGCCAAGGGTACTGCATCACGTAAATATATACAGCAATACCTCAGTGTACGTCGGGGATGCGTTCCTGAAAGCTGCGACGAATATTGAAATGACGTCAATAAAAGCGATTTACAGGGGAGGTCGATGCGAAAGCTATTCTTACATACCTAGAAGATAAAACCCCAAAAAAAATCACAAAACCACGACCCCACCGGCTTGCGGCAACACCTGATGACGATGATGAGCACCGCTCACGGCGGTCGTTGCCATCGTCGGTCCGTCTTTACGAATCGAAATGGGCCGTAAATCGCGCTTCTGATATGGGGCATGAGCCACGAGCTATTTTAAAACATTGCCCCCCTCGACCCCCAGCGTCCTCATTACCAGGCCTCGCGCTCACATCATGCGGGACACGGGGACTGTGAGACAACGGCAAGTGGGGAAATCGATGGATGGGGGCCGGGGGTTTGGAAGGCGATTATCTAAAAACAGCACCGTGGGGCCGGCCGGTAACGTCGCCTACATCATGATTATGTTCGTTATTGTGTTTCCACACCACCGTCACCACTGCCATAGTTTATTATCGTCTAATGTGCTGTCAAATATACAGGGGTGTGTGTGCACGTTTGCGCCCTTGTCCGTTTGCCTTGGTGCATGTGAATACGCTTGTGTGTAAATGTGTGCCTTAATAGATTCTGACCAACAACAGTTTAAGGTCATATGGGAGGATATGTCTTTCATTTTGAAATGTGGGCTGTGCATGAATACATGGGTGTTATGGGAAATGGTGTAATAGTAGTTAACGCGCAATGCTTCAAACTTCACTTCCAAAGTTTGAGCCCTGGCTGTGGCAAACATCGGTGGAAAATATCTGAACTGGTTCTGGGCATTCCCTAGGTCAATTCAGCCTTAAACGAGTACCTGGTGTGGTTTTTAAACATCAGCACTCGGGAGACAAATGCAGCTGGGCATATTACTGGCCATACCACCCTTTATTACACCACCCTGGCCTTAATAGGTCTTCACTAACAGCACTTTCCCCAACAGTCTGTTTTGCTATATGGAGAATCTTTACCTTTGTGTATGCGTATGCGATCTCTGCCTATATGTTGGCCACTCATACCCTCGTGTGCCGTGCTGGCCTTCAAAGGTACTCGCTAACAGCACTTGCCCTCACAGTCTGTTAAGGCTATAGGGGGATCTTTGTCTGTATATATATGTGCACTTGGGCTAATTCTCTCAACGATCATCTCAGCCTATAGCATACCTTTTGGAGTATGAAAGTATGAAATGTGCTTTTATGAATGCAGACCATTTTCCCGTGTCAGTGAAATGTGTTCGAAGTCACTTCAATCGGCCAATCAAATCATAGACGAGCCTACGGTTAGAAGCTGGGCTCTCCAATTCTTTACGTAATCGATTAACACACTGGTTATCAGCCAATAGGAATAGCACTAAAATCGTTTGGAGGGATAAAGTGTCGCGTCCCCACGCGTGCCGCTCGCTGGGAACAAATGGCTCGGTGATGTTAGTGGCGTCATCCACACGCGTCACGCTGGGCATTGTGAGGGCATCGTCGATTTTTTTTTTAAAGAGGCCGAGTAATCAACCACAAAAATAGCAACAACAGAAAAACGTCAACTGAAACTATACAAACTAAACTATTTTTATTTTACCAGGTAAGGCCCACTGAGCTGTATAGCTCTCTTTCAGAAGCGACCTGGCCACATCAAAATGACAGCTCAACGAAGTGGCTTGTCACGTGCAAATGTGTAGCAGCCAAACACTCTAAACGCGTGATGTTGATTCTAAATGTGGAGGGAAAAACCGGAGGACCCGGATAAAAATCCACACGACCACGAGGAGATAACAGGCAAACTCCAAGGGTAAGGATCAACACATTGGTCAATAATGCTGTGGCCTTAAACGAAAAATAGATATTATAGGCAATGTGTTGGGCAATGGGCCCTTATTCATGGCACATTGAGGCCTGTTGAGAGTGGATAATTATAGTTGGATACTGAACTTTATACCATGGGGCCATATGAATTATATTGTTTTAAATGTTTTCCGATGAACAGTTTTTTTGGGGGAATATGAATGTTGGCATTTATAGCTCATGAGCAACGAGCAAAAATAGTTGATTATACAGTTGAGACAATTGATCGACTCTTCCAATGATCGTCCCAGCTGTAAATAACAACACAATGTGTCTGTACACAGTATACATGTGTGTTTGTTGAACTTCTTTCGCACCGTACGTAGCCAACCGTGCAAATCGGAGGTACCTTGCTGCATATAAATAATTTTCATTATTTTAAAAGGTTAGGCCTCAGTAACGACTTTCCTTAAATTAAAGTAATCGCATTCATTACACAACGGATGTTTTTTTTGCCCATGAATTATCGACCAGACTGCTACCACCAACTCATTGGTTTAATGGCTTAATAACCGGCGGCGAGAAGAATTAAAACCCCAGAACTCAGCGATGCTGGCTCTCAGGGCTTGAACGCGGCCAGCGTGCACTCTTGCCATGTACGTACAAGTCGTTTTGTCAATCCACTGCTGGATAAAAACGCATGCATGTAGAACTGAGTTTGCATCCTACGTAGCCAACCGTGCGAATCGGAGGTGCGGGGGAAGGACAACAAGCTACACACACAAAAACTGTTCTAAAGAAATTTGTTCCCAATATAGATGCGGATACTGGTCCAGACCGGGTTTGTGTAAGCGGGGGGTCCATAGACTCGGTATAACAAACGTACAGTACAATATGTTCCGCTCTACTCCCCTCCCAACAATAGTTCGTGATAGTCACCCATCCAAGCACTATCCAGGCTCAATCCCTGCTTTAGGCTACCAAGATCTAATAGGATCTGGGCGCGCACTCCGTTAGGTGACAGCGGTGTCGCACAGATACACACACGCTCTCTGGCGCACACGACCGTAAATCCAATCCTCACACGAAGGAGCCGATTCCTTCCAGGGGAACGCCAGACGGGGGAGGGGGAGAGTGGGGCCTTCCTCTTGACAAATTTACTGCGTCATTTTCTCATGAGCCAGCCCTACCTTGGCAAGCCAATTGGAATTTAGACTGGGTGGGAAAAATCTAAAAAAAAAACCTCACAACCAACTACAAGTCATACTGTGTCAGCCGATCATAAATATTGAAATGTGGTGAGATACGACGGCCTGTGACTCCACCGACGAGTCGCACTTAAGTTTAAATTTCGGAGGATGGCGGTGTGGCGTTCAAGGGTTAAATCAATTTTCTGTCCCGGATTCGGCAGGAGGCCAGCCCCGGCACATCCCTCTCCCATCCCTCTCCCACCTCCACCACTCACCTCCCACCTTATCCCCACTGACACAAAGGAGAATGTTAATCTCGTGGAATGGATAGGAGATGACGCTAAGGTATTTCGGACGACTTGCTCGTGCAAAACCTGGCGCCCGCCCAGAAGCTCAGATATCGTGTCGTCCCTTACGCCATTACGGATAACAAGCTACAAAAATAATTAAAGGTACTTGCAAAGGGGCAGCACGAGAAGACATGGGCAGTCAACACACTCTTCCGCAACACGTTGCGACCTGCTGATTGACTAACTGCGGTAAAATGATTTTTTTTATATTGCAAGTCCAGAGCGTGCTAAGCATTGCCCGGCGGTAGCATCCCCTGTGATAGTAAAAACGGCCTCCATTTACTCATTGGTTCTTTCGGTAAAGTCACGTATAAAGAGGAAGTAATAAATTAAATACGAGCATACGACGTTTTCGATTGCATAGTCACTCATTGACATGCTAATTTCTCTAACCCCTTCCTCTCTCTCTTTAAGGCCTCGGCACA